AGCCTAACCATTCTTGGCACAAATAGCCTTCAATAAAGATTTGGATGGAACTGAAGTGAACTGAACTAGATAAATTGAATTAAGTAATTTACAGAATGACTTCAGGAAGAAAAAAAAAAGTCTTTAAAAACTTAAAAAATCACACAACTGATTTAAATTTAAGTCAATGCTCAAGAAGCAGCATGAAAACCTTTTTTTCAAGTCCAGTTGACTTCCCTCTCCCTACAGTGATTCATACCTAGTGCTGCATAAACACGTCAAGTTAAGATGACACAAATTTATACTGCCCCAGAGGGTACCAGCTGGGCCCAGGCAGATCACTCTTTCTCAATTTATGAAAATCCAACCTAGAAATGCAGCAGTAAACTATATCAGTTCCTGCAGTCTACAAGTTTTCCATAGCAATTATTTTTCATCTGATATGACCCCCCAAAATTAGTATAGGCAGATTTTTGCTAGTATCCAAAGATAAATATTGCTTAAAATATTTCAACATCCAAGTTTGTATTTAGTGGGCTAATGAGAATAGGGGAGATTTAAAATTTTAATCATATGAATGCTAATGGAAGAATCGAAGTGGGGGGCACACATGTTCACAGTAAAATATTTCAATAACCATCTGGTTGAAGATTTTCATAAATATTGGGAAGGAAATAATATTAGAAGAAGATAAATGACATCACAAAATGCTTGGGAGCCTCTTAGTGATTCAAACAGAAAAAGTGGTAGGGGAAGTACTTCATCGCCCACCACGCAGCAGCAAAGGCAAACCCCAAATTATAACTCCACACGTACTTTGACAGATTCAGTTCATTTCAAAGAAAGTCTCAGCAATCACATTATGTTAATGTGAAAATGATTTTTTTTACAGATTTGTTTGTATTTATGTAAATTTGTTTTAGTTTTGTAGCTATATAAGTACAGGGAGTTTAGATTGGTTTTTTATTTATACTTATTCAAGCTGCATTATTTAAAAAAGTAATTGAAACACAAGGCACCTTGAACAGCCCTTCGCCCGCCCCCAAAAAAAAACCTTGGAAAGAGTGAACAAAGTTGAAGAACTCCTATTTACCAATTTAATACCTTACTACAAAAATGACAGTAATCAGGATAGTGTGGTAGTGGCCAAAGGACAGATATATAGACCAAAGGAACAGAACAGAAAATCCAGAAATAAACCCATATGTCTATTGATAGTTGGTCGTCTACAAGAGTGGCAAAATCACTCAATGGAAAAGAAGTCTTTTAGATAGTATTGTTGAGATAGCTGGATATCCACAAGTACAAGAATGAAGGTGGGCCCTGACCTCATACCATTACAAAAATTAACTCAAAGTTGATCAAAAATCAATATGTAAGAGCTAAAATTATAAAACTCTTAAAAGAAAACATAGGTATAAATCTTCATGGCATTGGACTAGGCAATGGTTTATTTAAATATGACATCAGAAGCATAAGCAACCCAAAGAAACTTGGCAAATTGGAAAGAGACAAATGGACTTCATCAAAATTAGAAACTTGTGTGTCAAAAGACACAATCAAGAAAGTAGTAAGACAACCTAAGCATGGGAGAAAGAATTCTCATTACTCGACAATAAAAACACAATCCAATCTAAAATGGGTATTTGACTAGATATTTCTCCAAAGCAGTTATGTAAATGGCCAAAAAGCACGTGAAAATATATTGGACGTTATTCACTAAGGAGACGCAAATCAAAACCAGAATGAGATACTACTTCCCACCCTATAAATAAAAACTAGAATGAAAAAAGATAACAGCAAGTGTTTTAAAGGATGTAGAGAAACTGGAATGCTGACATGTCGCAGGTGAGAATGTAAACAAGTGCAGCTGCTTTGAGAAACACTGACAATTTTTCAAAGTCAAACACGAAGTGACCATCTAACACAGCAATTCTGCTCTTGGTCTCTATTCAGGACACTGAAAACATGTCTCATTTTTACATGACTGCTCATAGCAGCATTATTCATAGTAAGTCAAAAGCAAAAACAGCCCAAGTGTCCATCAAACTGATGGATGGATAAAGAGAACACAACGTGATGAATTATTATTCAGCTGAAAAAGGAATGAAGTACGGGTTCTATGTCACAAAATGGATAAAAAAAAAATTGAAAAAAATTGAGCTAAGTGAAAGCATGGCAGACACAAAAGGTCACCTAGTGTATAAATAACTACATTTACATGAAATGTCCAGAATGGCAAATCCACAGAGACAAAAATTAGATTAGTGGCTGTTGCTTGGGGTAGCTGAGAGTTACTGGATTTATTTGGAAGGTGATGAAATGTTCTGGAATTAAGATAGTAGTGATGATAGTTGAAGAAGTTTGTGAAATATACTTTAAAAAGAGTCAAGTTTATGGCATATGAATTATACCTCAATTTAAAAAATAAACTAATTCAACTCTAAGGAGTCTGCTGGCAGAGAAAAATCTAGAAAGATAATGTAAACAACAAGTTCCTGACTTTATTTTTGCACTTGCCTAAGGGTAATGGAATAAATATTTAATAAAATGTCATAAAAATGTTTAATGGGCTTTATACATTTTCTACATCATCAGATCTGCTGTGCCTAAAGTAAGTCTCAGAACTGGGTTCCTGACCACACGGCAGAACACACACCAGTGAGAAGTGTCTTTCTCTTGGAAGAGTACTCTTACTTCTCAAAGAATTCATACAGGCTTCCAGGGGAAGTCTGAGGTGCTCAGAGAATGGTTTGAATGTTCTGGAAGACTGATCTGAGAGCAAATGTTATGTGTGGGTTTTTAAATCTCACCCAGTATGATGTTTCTTATGTGGCACTATACATATCAGTCACCTTAATACATGAGCATTTGTTCTCATGTGTTTTATTATAACAAAGAATGTTATTATAGCATTTGCTTATAGCTCCCTGAGATTCTCACTACAGATTAGCTTGATTTGCAAACAGACTATATAGCAAGTAAGGTTAAACAAAATGCCCTGCACATCCACATGATATATCAGCACGTTTCACCTACTCGTATACATCAAAACTATGAGTGAAGCATGTGCCAGACACAGAGAACATGGCAGGGAACACAGCCCTGGCCCAGTGTCACTGTACTTCCCAAATTCAAAGCATCAAGGCACTGAGCACCTGACTGGAACAGGGCCTGCGGAGTGCAGGCTGTGGTGGGGCATGGAGCAGAACCATCCCAGGGCAGAGAAAGCACCCCTCCTCCCCCCTGAAAGTGCTATTCAAGTTGAAAGCTAGAGGATAAGCAGGTCAATAGTCTGACAAAAATGAGGGAAAAGAGTGGCTGCAGCCCACAAAAACTGGCGAAGTTTGTTCTAGGAACTAAAAGAAAAAGTAAAGCTAGAGATGGAGACAGCAGTCATGTGGGAAAGGGTCTTGAAGACAGTCAAGGGGACTGGAGCTTATCTGAAGGGCAGTGGGGAGCCAACAATCAGATGGGGGTCAGGAGGGAGGACAGCAGGGCTAGAGGGAATAGACAGGAGGCCATTCCAGCGATGAAGAGAGAGATGATGGCAACCTGGTGTGGGCTGGGGACAGAAGCGATGGGCAGGTAGTCAGATCTAAGGCATATTTACCATATGGAATCAACAGGACTTCTGATACAGGAGTGATAGATTTCTGATTTGGAAAACATGGTGGACAGCATTGTAAATTCACCAAGACAGAAACAACGGGAGGAGGAACAGGACTGGGGGAGAGTGGGAAAGCTTGCACTAAAGGCCACCAGCCTGTAGTGGATGCTCCAGCTGCTGTGATACCTGCATGCTGAACCCCACTGGCATCTCACAGCACACCTGCACTGAAGGCGCCTTACCCTGGTCCTTTTTCTGGAAGGTCGACCTCAGCTGACAGCGGACTATAGACAGGAATGCTGACATCATAGCCTTGCCGATAGGTCCACGTAGAGAAGCCGCCACCAGCCAGCAGAGCCCTGAAAACGAAGGATGGTGTCAAACAATGAGAAAGAAAGATCTTCATTCTGATAAGCTCTGAAGAAAAGAATTCGAGTAACTGAGTTTTTTTTTTTTTAAAGATTTATTTTTATTTATGTATGCATACAAGAACTGGAGTGTAGGCCAGAGGTGCAGGGGATGAGAGGATTCACCAGAGACAGAGTGGGGAGCAGAACAAGTGGATCTACTGAAATACACTGCTGAGGGGAGCAGCGGGCAAGACAGGAGAGGTCTTCTGTGCCATGTGAGTAGTTCCCTGACAGGCCGGGGATGGAACTCGTGCTGCAGAAGCTGCCGAGAGCTTCACAGTGCTGAGACTTAACCCCTTGCACCACCAGGGAGGCCCCCTCGAGTAACTGAGACTTAAATTCAACAGCAATTGATGTGCCTTGGGCTTTCCAGTGCCCTGGAGCTACACGGCAATCAAGTGCCTCTACCAGTTCTCACCATCCATCCCCATACTCCATCTTAGTAACCCGATTCCCTACACAGGAAGCAGAATCCAGCGCCGGACCACAGTGCTGCTCTTGCAGAGCGCATACACTAGCTTTTACTTCACTAGAAAGCCGTGGACATACTGTTTTAATTGGATCCAGCAAGTAGTGCCATGACACTTCATCAGAGAAAGGAAGCAGGTGTCTATCCACCAACTTTTACTGTTTTCTGTCCCCAGGGCCCAAAACCCATCGGCATCACTTACTGGGCAGAATTTTGCAGTTCCACACACTGCACATTGTGAGCCAAAATGTCTGAACTGAGAAACCACATTTTTTGCAATATTGATTGCTACCAATCCCCTCCCTGCCCTGATGACAGCCTGCGCTCCCTTCTAACATGACCAGTTGAAGTTCAAAGATTTTCAAACCACCCCTGGAAATCCCAATCTGTTTGTTTAAGCTTTATGAAACCAAGAGCTGGTGAGTGAAGCAATGCGCAGGCTAAAAACCTCTCCAGCTGCCAGTCTACTCTGTAAAACTTAATGACCATCCTTAGTACCAACATACGGTCTTATTTTTCCTGATTAGCATTCAACAATGAATCCATCCAACATGCATTTGGGTGGATTCCACCTCCGTGATGGCAAGCAGACTCTATGGGCCCCCACAACGTATGTGCAGAGTAGCAAATATGGATGCAATCTACAGGCACCAGACTGTCCAGGAAAGCCAGGTGAGTGAGCAGGTAATCACGCCCACCACCCCAGAGGAGAGGGGCATACATAGTGTCAAGGGAGGGAGTAGGTGTATATTATACAGACTTATATTGTTATTCTGTCCCTGGGGCCCCAAACTGTTGTCCTGCTCCTGAGGGTGTGCAGTGGATGTGCACTGGTAGCAGGAAAGCATGAAGCATGCCTATGTCACAGCTGATGTCACAGATCACACACGTGCGATTTCCACTTGTGAGCCTGGAAAGAGTTGAGGCTTGGAAAGAGGCCTCACACCAGCCCTACTACCAACAAGACTTTAACTTCAAGTCAGTGTATCTTCTTATGCCAAGGTTTCCGTAACATTATAATGGAGAAAATATTGTAAGCACCCTGTGCTTTACAGAACACATGTTTTACATTGACTGAAAAGTGAATTTCTGAGAAGCACATTCTGTTTTCCAATTCTGAATCCCAAAATCAGAGATCAGTTCCAAAGCTGCAAGAGACTGAATAGAAAACTCGAAGCTAAAAGTCTTAGGACAGCACCCCACGTGTCCCTAGCACTTCGGCACTGCTCAGGACATCCTGCCGCCAGGACTCTGTCACCACCCTCCCCCCCACCGCCCCACTTACTTCCGACTCTGGGTCTTTTCTCAGATCTCCACACACCTCTCCTCCCCCCATCTGAGTACTTACAGTGCCTACACAGAGTTCATATGCAAGTCCATCCTTTGCTTTCCTTAAAACCATGCAAATAACCCAGGCTGCAAACTCCTCAAATATAAAGCTTCAGGTTTTTTGGGGTCTGGGGCAGGGGGGTGAAGAAAAACAAACTGAGCAAATCTTCTGGCCATCCTTACTTGTTTACTGAATCAAACAAACTGTGAAAAAAAAACCAAACTTTTGAGACAGGTAGATTCGAACAATTGCTATAGATATGTGGTGAAATTGAAAATTTTCTGTTAATTATTTAGGTATATTTATGTTTTCTTGAAAAGCCCTTATTTCAGATGGAAATATTTGTGGGAATAATAATAGGGCATGTGGGATTTGCTTCGCGGGTGTCTGCTGGGTGGAGTGGGCGTACAGAGGAATGGAGACTGCCCCCGAGCTAAAGAATTCTGAAGCTGGACAGGGCATGGAAGGCTCTCTTCTTTTTTGTAGGTTGAAATTTTCCATAATAAATTTTAAGTAAATAAACACACACCCCACCCCCCGCCCCAGCAGGAACCTGTGAAAGATAGATGCAAAGAAAGGACAATAAAAATATCCCAGGTAGGGCCTCCCCTGGTGATGCAGGCGGTTGAGCGCAACGCTGTGAAGCTGCCCGCAGCCTCTGCAGCGCTAGTTCGATCCCGGCCGGCCAGCGAGGGTCCACATGGCTCAGCAGACCTCTCCTGTCTCACCCGCTGCTCCCCTCAGCAGTGTATTTCGTCAGTCTGCCTGCTCTGTTCCCCACTCTGTCTCTGGTGAATCCTCTCACCCTCCAGCACATCTGGCCTGTACCCCAGGTCTTGTATAAATAAATAAATAAATCTTTAAAAAAAAAATATCCCAGGTAGTGAAAATATTACAGGACATAGTTGAGAAAACAAACACCAGTAAAATAAGGCACTAAAAAGGTCAAAGACATACCCAGGTAAGTTAAAGTAAAACGGGCGAGTATGTATGTGTTTGTGGGCAAGTCCACAGGGAAATGCATGGCATTTTAATAGTGACGGCCACTCACCAAGACGTGGGGACAGAGGGCGTGAAAGCGTATTCTGACATGTCCCTCTTCATACAATGGCACACTGCTCTGAGCTTGTACAAAGAAGGTGCATGTGCATCAGGTGTATGGCTTTTCAATATTGAGCGAGAAATGAAAACAGATTTAAGTGGCATCAAAGATGGAGCTGCCAGGAAGACATTTCCTTCAGCCCGCCCCTGCATTTCCAAAAGTGAAGGGATTTGTAAGTAAGCCCACCTACGATTTTGGACTCCAGGAGCTCCTAGTAGCAGTTTAAACTAGCCCATCTGTCTTCTAATTTCCAAATAATATAATGTGAGCTCCTGCTAAAACCATTCTGTACTCATGGCTTCTGCCTCCCCTGAATCCAGGAACAAGGACAAAGGATAAGAAAACCTAACAAACAAATCTGATATTCCGAACCCCAACCAGCAGACCACCTAGGCTTCAAAATGAAATTTCCCACATGCAAAGATAGAGGGCTCTCTGGTGATTCATTACTTGCTACAGGATTGCCAATAATCACTTACAGAAGTGCACATAAAGGGAAAACGATTCAACCTTCCTGATCCTTAACACCTAAGCACCAGCAAGAACTTCAGTTTTCTCCTGATTACTTGACACTCTGCTGCAGAGAAGTAAAACCCTATTTAACATGTGCACTTGATAAAAATAAAACCCTTCTCCTGTTAAATACATATACTAAAATGTCAGCAAACAGTGAAATGACCCAAACAGAAATAAGCCCTTCACAGAATAAACCTAGAACAGCAGGTGAAGACACTGCATTCCTAATAGCTCTGTCCTGCCCCTCCTCTGTCCTGTCAAGTATTTCACTTCCCCAGAACAACCAAGTTCACAGAGGACAGCCCACTGGGGAGCAGAGACGTGCTCAGGGTTTCCCAGAGTCTGTGGGGCCTGACTGCCCTCTATCGTCCACAGGGGTGTCTACAGCAAAGCTGAGGCATGGTCCCGAGGTGTGCACCTCCTCCAGGAACAACTCAACACTGACTCAGCAGTCACCTAAGCAGAGGGCTTAGATTCAGTCTTCTGGGGAACAATAAAGCTAAGTGCAGGTTCTCACGTGACAACAACAGCCTCTAACACGCTGAGAACACAACTGGCCTCAGGCTGCTCTCACCTTCAGTAATGATGATTTCAAGAGTTAAATATCAACTATAATAAAATCGGCTACAAAGGAGTTCACACGGTCAACTCCGAACAATCCTATACCTGGAGTACAGGACCCTTAATTTGAACCCAAACTTTCTGTTTTCCTCAAATCCTTGAATCAAGTAGTAGGGGAGGACCCTGACGCAGCACCTTCCTTGCTCCCGAGCTTCCCAAGAAGCCTGCGGTACCGGCACACAAGGGCTGGGAAATACAATAGGTGACCCACACAGAGCACAGCTGCCTAAATGGAAGGCTTCTGGAGGAAGGAAAGAAGCGGGCAGGGTCAGGGGTGGACAGAGAGAAGACAAGAAAGAAGAACCTACTGACTGAAAGGACAAGAGGGTAAAACATCGTCAGAGCCCTCACCCTCAAACGGCAGGCCCAGGCTTACTGTCACACCACACTTCCTTTTTCTCAGGAAGCTGTGGCTCTGCTTTTGGCAAAGGCTCCCGAATTCAGAGAGAACTGACACAGGCCCATGGTAAACCAGGCCTTAGGGGCAGGGGTGCGGCACTGCAGAGAGCACAACGCAGACTGAGGAAAAGGTGGTCTTCAGGATGCCACGCTGGAAGGTAAGCTCTGCCTGGTCTTCCACAACAGATGTAAGGCCTCAAGTCTTCCACAACTCCTATGTCTTGAAGAGACACATGCCTAGGACAATTTCTTATTTTAATGAATGCTGACAAAGTATGCCCCAGCAAGTGTGGGAATAGGATTTCATGTGAATAAAAAGGTCTTGCCTTTACTTAACCCTCAAAAGCCCATCAAACAGACAACCCCAATGCACCGACCTGTCTCTGGGGACATCCAGGGCTGTGTTGTAATCTGGGGGGCCTCCAGGCAACATGTTGAACAGCAGGTGATTTGTACCTCGGTCCCACCTATTATGAAATCAAATATAGGAGAATTCCTATGTCAACTATGGAGAAACAAAAACAAGTATCCCCAACCCAAAAGAGGACACTGCTCAGGTATGCAAATTGGATTTCCCAAAATCCCCGGACTATGTCAGAGAGTAGCCTGGCTCTGTAAGAAGAAAAATGGTGGCTGTGTTTTTCAAGCTTGTCCACTTTAGAATTGCTCATAACAATGAACACCACCTAAATGGTCACCATTTGGTTAAAAGGAACACAAAATAAATAAAATACAGAAAGCGAGTTAAATATCTTTGGAAACATGAACAGAATGGAATCTGATGCACTCTTTAAAATTATATGGTAAAAGAATATGAAATTATCTGGAAGTATATTCATGATGAATTAAAAGGAAAGGGCAAAAGAACATGTGAGCCTTATTCTTGGCAACAACGTGTATTTACACACGCACAGCATGTATTTTTAGCTAAAATATTATATGTACATGTGCATATGATACACTTTTTCATACAAAACTGACTGAAATGTCACATCAAAGTTAGTAATGATTATCTTTTAGAGGCAGGGTTATGAAATGAAGCTTCCTTTTTTTTTTTGCTTACCTGTATTTTCAGACTTTTTACAGCAAACATATATTAACTAGGTAATAATGGAGAAGCGGGGAGAGTTTAAGCTTAAAAGGACAAGGATGGGTAGAGTCTGAACTCTGAGAATTTGGGAACCCAGAGCAGCAAGCGCCCGGGGCTGCCTGCTTCCCTCTGGCACAGACCCAGAGGCTTACACCGTGGCCCTCACACTACAAGCCCGCAGCCCCCTCCCTCACGACAAGAGGGGGCAGCTGGCAGTCAGCTCCAAAGGAGAAACGGTCCCTCCCTCCACCTTCCCTCTGGCTCCCCGAAGGACTCGGCTCTGGTCCATCAAGTGCCAGGTACCTGGAGAGCTGGGCCAGCGCTTGCGCCGTCTCCTTTATGCGCAGCGTGTTCTGGTTCAGCACGTCGATGGACGGGACAAACAGGCAGGCCCGGGTGATGTCATCGGTGTAGTAGTCGCTCTCCGAGATGGCCGTGAGCAGGTCGTTGTACTCCCGGGAGATGGTGTTGCTGACCGGGACGCCAACGTCATCCACGTACTTCTTGAGAGAGTAGATGTACACCTTGATTTTGTTCTTGGGGTTGAAGCCGCAGCGGTAGACATCAAAGCACGTGTGCATCCTGCAGCTGAGGTCGCCGCGCTCGGGGATGGGGCTGTCGGCTGGCAGCCGGACCACCGGCACGTCCCGGATGCTGCGCTTCTCTACGCTCCAGTCGCTGGAGGACTCGATGGAATGGGGCCAGAACTGGAACATGCCGGTGGCAATGAGGCCCAGAAGGACGATGGAGAAGAGGGTGATGTAGTAGATTCGGTGCTTGGTCTTCATTCTTGGGATGAGGGCAGGACCCCGGATATTGTACTTGACGGACGCACACATAATGGCACAGCCTCCTCCTCACACTCCTGGTTACCAGAGGGAGAAAGGAAAAAGACACACTAGTGAAAAGACTGAGGTTTAATATACCTATTTTTTCCCCTTAAGCAATCTGATGAAATAGTGAGAAGGAATTTTTTTTACACTTCTTATAAATATATATAAACATGTTTGCATAGGTGAATATATAGTACATAAAATGATAGGTTTAATATTTAATTCCACATGTATTATTAGTATAAATGCGTGATATAAAAGTGCAACTCTATAGATAAATACTCAATGCAAACATAAGGTGGTGAAGGTGGGGGGCACTGAACAAGAAAGAAAAATCGCAACTGAATAGCCAAAGACAGTTGTTAAGTTTTATTTTTTAACACTTGCTGAAGATAAAACTGATGCTTTACCTGGACAAACAGGTGCTTGGCTATTCTAAAATCTGTTTTCATTCAATTCATTCAGGCATTCATTCCAACTTCTACTGCGCACCTACCAGGAGCAGGGAAAGAAACAAAGAAGAAAGCAAAGACCCTACTTCAGAGGAGGCAACAGGCTAATAAGATCAACAAAACGAACAAAATGCAAAGTGTAAAATACCTCCGGGGAAGCGTCTATAAAGTGCCACAGAGAGAAGGGTTAGCCTTCAGTGTGTAAATAAAACACACACTGCTTTTTAACGACACAGTTCACGGACACATTCAGAAGGAGGGAAGGAAGGAGCAAGGGAGAAGAGGGCCAGGGAAGGCCACTGTGTCGCAGATCCATTTCCAAAGATCCATGCCAAGGACTCTTCCTCTGGGTGAGTGTGCATGCCGCTTTCCCACTCAAAAGGAGGGGTCTGCTCCCCCTCCCCCTGAATCTGGGCAAACCTTGTGACTTACTTTGACCAAGAGAATGTGGCAGAAGTGACATGCTAGGGCTTTTGCACCTAGGCCTTAGGAGACCCTGTAGCTGCTGCGAGTGGTTATATGTAGCAGGCAGAACTATGAAAGAGAGACTAGCTGCGTCTTCCAGGCAGAGCATGAATTCTAAAGCAAAATGCCAAAAGTGCAATTAAGAACTTCTGTTCATCAAAAGACACCACAGGGAAGTAAAAGGACAAGTTATAGCCCATATCCCCAAATCATATAATGCTGTAAACCACTGTTACCTCAATAAAAATACAATTAAATTATTTTTAATTTATTTTTAATTTTTTATACTTTTTACATCATTTTTCATTTTTGCACAATGTATGCGTTTTCATCTGGGTTATAGTCCCCATACAATTCCCACCCCCCCTTGTTTTGATCCTACTCCCTTCTCCCCCCACGCTGTAGTGTGTCTCTGGTTGAGAGTTGCTTGTTGTCTTTGATTTTTGCTTTATTATAATTAGTCTTTTTCCTGGTCCCTTATTTAGGTTTTCTAAATTCCTGCTATGAGTGAGACCATCCGGTATTTTTCCAATTAAATTTTTAAAAACAAGCCACAAGCCAGAAAATATTTGCAATACATATAACCAATAAGGACTAGCAACCAGAAAAGAAGTTTAGTCTCATCAACAGTCAGGAAAAGTACAGGGAAATCCAAGCATCAAACACCACCAGAGCCCGCGGGAACCTGGAGCCACAGGCACCCCCTGGAAGGAGTATAGCTTGGCTAGAGTCCCCAGTGGTCAGCAGAAGAGCTGGAAAAAAGAGGGGCTGACACCCCAGTGTTAAGAGGCCTAGGCTTTACATCTTGTTACCCCCTCCAGGAAAGCCCGCCCTTAGGAGGTGATCTCAGAAAGCAGACTGACAGGAACCAGGGAAAGCCAGTAAGGAGTATGTGCTATTAAGCTGGCTGCTGCCTTGGGCAACACAGGCGCTTAGGGCTTGCAGGAAGCCTCTGAGGAAGCGCCAAGATTACACCTCGTCCCTCAGAGGGGTAGGGGTGAGCAGCCACAGCCTTTATCTGCCAGTTCTGACCCACCACTGCTGGAAGGGGGTCCGGTACTAATATCAGCTCCAACCATGTATGCAAAGACCAGGATATTATCCTTCCCTTGCCGTACAGTCAGTCTGACAGAGAGCTGCTAGCAAAGGCTGGGGGACATTTGTCTATACGTGCAGGGGTGTTGCAAAGTCCTTCTTCAAAGAGACCAGCCTCCCCCTCCATCCATGGGATGAGAGCGGGGGTGGCTCATACTTGAAACTAGTTGAGGGAGGGCGACTTTCCAGTGCAGCTGCAGACATCAGCCATCAAATGGCCAGCTCTTAATTTCTTTCTGGTTATACAAGTCCAACACTCCCTCAGCTGGCTGCCCGTCTACACTGAGCTGAGGAACCATGCTCTATGAGCAAGGCAGCTTGTCAAGTCGAGCCTTGCTGACCACTTTGGGTATTGCACCTACCTTGTCCCTAAAGGTGAGCGCCATCACCATATTTGAGAATCCTACCATCCTCATTGGTAACTGGGACCCAGGTCCATGGTCACCTCACCCAGAGTCCATCCTGGTATCCAGAGGACAGCCCACAAGGAGCTCCTGGAAGATGCCACCCCCCACCGGGCACGTCACACACCAGAGGGAAGGGAGTGGGTCTTCCCGGGAACAGGGGCAGGTGGGGAGGCTCTGGCCTCAAGTAATAAATTTATTACATGTGCCCACGTCCCCAGACCTCCTGACCCCTTCCTCGATACTCTCCCAAGCAGCCCACAGCCTCCGCCTCACTTGCTGCAGGCGGGAGTTTCTTGCTTCAGTACTATTGACATTGGGGCCCAGATGGCGCTTTTGTGGGGAGCTGTGTCCTACAATGGAGAAAATTTAGTAGCCTCCCCAGTCTCTGCTCAATAGAAGCCAGAAGCAGCCCCACATTGTGACAACGAAAAGTTTATTCAGACATTGAAAAATACCCACGAGGGAGAGAAAATCACCCGCATGTGAGAACCGATGCTGTCAATCACTGTCATGTCCATATGAGGATCAGCTTGTCAGGTCATGAAATCCTCAATCCTGAGAGAATATTCCCAAGTCAAGAGTCCCCCCATGTAGCTTCACATCCCACCACTCCCCTGCTCTTGGTCTAACACCCTCAAGAACCACTCCCACACTTTTCCCCCAGAGCCTGCTGGTCCCCACAAGCCAGGTCCCGTGTACCCCAGCAGCAGAGGACCCCCGCTACCACCAGTCAACTTCCCCTTGAGACAATGCTGCTATCAGAGGGGAGGGGGCAGATCTTGAGGATAAGCAGTTGGGCCTCTGCCTCAAGTGAGGTCTCTGCATAGAAAGGACAGGGGAACATGTCTGCAGGCCCAAAAGATCAAGGAAAGCGGGAGTACGAAGGTCTCAAGGCCTCCACCAGATATCTCCATCCCGGCTCCCTGGGTTCCGTTTCTTCCTCCCGTGGCCCTGACATTAGCCAGGCAATCTGGCAAGGCCGTGCCTATAGCTTCTTTTGGGTGGCGGCTCCAACTGTGACTAAATTACCGGCCTGATTTCAACAGTCCACCCTGAAATTGTGGGAGCGCCTGCTATTGGGTCTTCTGTCTTCTACAGAGTGCCCTGGCTTCATCTTACCCCAGGATCAGTATTCCCAGCATCAATACCATGTCTAGAACACATTTCATGAAACACGTATGTTATTGCATAAGTGTCTTCATTCCCCTCAAGTTCCGTCAGTGCACACACACTGTTCAGGGTCCAAGTTTTGAGTCATCAGGTGGTGAGGAATTGATTTTCTTTCTTGCACTGAAATAACCAAAAGGGTAAAAATGGCTGGGTACCCCCTAGAGACTGAATTTTTTGGACCTGCCCTCCTCTCTCCTCTCATCCATCCCACATAAACAGATCCAAAGAACACCAGGCCACCCCACCTTTATCATCCTTTCTTTTTAACTCCCAGGGATGCCTGAACTGACCGTGTTCCGGACTCAACACTCCTGCCTCCCACAGCCATCTGAAGCAGGGAGATGGCGCTTCCCAAAGTCATCATCCACAGAGCCAAGTCACAACCCTTCATCCAAAGAGGATCCCCGCTACCACCAGTGTGTGAAAGCCTCTGACAATGAGTTTCCCCAAAGAGGACAAACTGAATCTTCTCCTAATGAATGTGAGTTCTGTATCATACAACTAGAGATCGAAACTAGACTTTCACAACAAAGCCCTACAAACTTTATTCTCCTTCAGACGTATCAACCCTGCAAAACACATCATCCAGCCAGTTGTCAAGCACCGAGTCACTGGAAAAATCTCTTACCTCCACTCTACTGTCAGGACAAGCAGCATTTTCTGTTCCGGGAATTATTTATTCCTAAAATGTTCCTGAGCAATTTTTTCTCAATGCTTCAGGGTATATCCAATCCACTCCGGTTCGAGATTCTGAGTCATAACCTCCAGTCTTCTCAACCTTTTCAGAGAGGCCCTCACAGATGACCTCCCCCACCCCAGGGCCACTGCTACACTAGAACTTAACCCAACTGTTCTTGAAAAAAAAGAAACCAAATTTTAGCAATAGTGGGAAAATCTTACTTGACAGGTTTCTTGATAGGTTTAGATTATCACTAGCCATCCCTAAAAAGAGTTTCCAATTTTAAGAAACGATTTCCCTTCAGTTATAGGAACATTCATAATAAATACAATGCAGGTGATTAAAAAGCTAGTAACTGAATTATACTGAGGATTCACAACATGCTAAGTAGCTGTTTGAAGCACTTTGCATTAACTTATTCAATCTTTCTAACAGTGTCCCATGACAAGCTATTATTACCCTCCTTTTACAGCAGGAGAAAGCGAGAAAGCGCAACAGTCAGGTTAAGTAACTTGCCCAGGGTCACACAACAGGGAATGCCCAGGCCAGGACCTGGAGGAGGGCAGCTGGCTCTGGCACCTGAGCTCTTTCCAAAGTGAAGCTGCCTCCCCCATTACCCTGAAAAGCTTGAATTAGATTTCCCCTTTTCACTCCTCAATTAGCAAAGCCAGCACTGAGATGACAGCTGCAAATCCACCCCTTCATACCCGCCCATGCAGCCAGGAGGCTGAAGTCAGCGCAAGCGAGGAGCGAGGAAACTGACTCATGTATTTTATTACCACGACTAGCCTTTGAGCTCTGAAACTTACAAACCAAGTCCAGTTGAAGTAGGTAAAGCACTCCACCGACTTAGGTGAAGAATGAAAGCTGACACGTTTCCATTTCTAGACATCTTCAGACAGGGAAGGCCGAGACTCTCCCAGATCTGCGCTTCCCAGGAAGGGACACCAAGCAACTATTTGAGTCTCCAACTTGTATACAGAAACCTGGTTCCAAGCGCCAGGAACAAAACTCCAAATGCCTCTGAGCTCCCTGTGCACCCCCAGAGCCGCCAGGCCCACCTGCTCCTCTTCCCGGGTTCGGGCCAATGTCCCAAGTCCTGCCCACGCACCTGGCCCAGCCGTGGCAGAGCCCAGGGGTGCAAGGAACTCCCAGGGGAGAAGGCGGAGGCAGCGGGAAGGGAGCGGTCAGGAGCAGGGTGGGACCTTCGGGAAAGGAAGCTGCAAGCCGCCAGGTGGGGGGCGCAGGGGTTCCAGGGGTGGGAGTGGACAGGTGGGACCCGAGGTGCGAGGCGCGCCAGGTGAAAAGGTGGTGAAGGGGTGGGGGGGTCGGAAATCCAGGCGATCCCGACTCGGGAAGTCACCGTCGCGGCCCCAGGCGGCCGAAGCTGCAAGCAGCCAGGTGGGGGGCGCAGGGGTGCCGGGGCGGGAGTGGACAGGTGGGACCCGAGGGGCGAGGCGCGCCAGGTGAAAGGAAGGTGAAGGGGGGGCCGGAAATCCAGGCGATCCCGACCCGGGAAGTCACCTTCGCGGCCCCAGCGGCCGCGGGGCTCGAGGCCGGAGCCCTGGGCCCCCCGGGCCCCCCCGGACCCCCCGGACCCCCCCGGCCTCCGCGGGCCCGCGCTTCCCCGGAGGCCCCGGCCCGCACCCCGGCGCCGCCCGGCCCTCCCGCGCCGTTTACCTCGGCCACGGCTGCCTCCCGCTCGGCGCCGCGCTCGGTCACCGGCTCATGCCGCGGGGCCCCGGGCTCGGCCGCCCGAGGGGAGTCGCGCCGAGCAGGGAGCCGCCGCCAGCGAGCAGGGAGCGGGGCGCCGGCGGCCGGGCTCGGCGGCGTCTGACATCGAGCGCACTGCGCATGCGGGAGCGGCCGGGCCCGCGCCCCCTGGTGGCCAGGAGGAGTCAGGGCGCCGCGGAGGGTGTCCCGGGCTGGGGGGCCAGCTCAGGCTCGCTCGGAATTGGGGGAGACCCTGAGCGAGGTGCTCTGTGCATGCTAATTTTAGAAATAAAGGGAATTTTTGGTTGAGGAAAAAGAAAAAAGCATGTGCCATTTGGTACTTTAAAATAGGTTTATGTGTTTCTGCTTAGAGCAAAGGAATAATTCTGATGAATAAATAAATAAAATAAATAAAAATAAAATAAATAAAATAAATAAAATGAATAAATAAAATACATGATGAAATGCATGTAAAACATAAAGGAATTAACTTGAAAATAAAATTATCCCTATGTGGGAAAAAAATAAATAAATAAATAAATAAAATAGCTAGAGGGGAATGAGTCTTCTGCAATCTGTGTATGATTTTATAATTTGACAGTATGCAAGTTGTTAATTGCAATTCCTTTATTTTAAAATTTGAAACTTGGATGATACGCTTCCTTTCACATGAGCTGCATGCAAGAAAAAATAGTGCCATTATGAAAAATTAATTCCAGATAAATATATTTAAAAGTAAAAAAGAAAATTGGGAAGCTTCGTTCATAATTATAATAAATTGCAAAATGAAACAATTATAATAAATTGCAAACTGAAACTTACAAAAGTGCAATAAAATTGACAAAAGTTTTATTATAACCAGTACTGGTGAGCGTGCAGCATTCCTGGAGAGTGATTCAACAGTATGCAGCAATTGCAGATGCCAGTTACCATTCCCCAGCAATCTCTGTGCATGGAGTTTACCCAATGGATTGTTAGCAAGGCTTATCAAAAATACGCATCCTGACATTGTTTCAAATGATAGTGAACAACTGAAAACAACCAAGATAAATTATGAAATATGATTAGAATGTAATAATGCGAGGAACCTCTATGTTGGTGTGGAAATATGTCCAAAATACATAAATATGAAAGGATGATCCAAACAGCAGGCAAGTGCGATCCCTTTTATGAAAAAAATATGCAGTAACTGAAGAAAACGTGTATGTGGGTATATTTCATTTTCGTTTTCTTTCTATTTATTGAAATGATCTAGCCTTCTAATGTCATAAGTCAGTAAAGGGAGTCTTTAAAAATTTGATCAAAACGCAAAGTGATTTTTTGTTTGTTTGTTTGTTTTCAGGGAACAACAACAATGTGGGTTCAGAGGGATGTTATTGAGAGGCAGTTCGGTAGTGCTGGCTATGGGATCCAAATTCATTCTGGTCCCAGCTGTATCTCCACGCCCTCTAGTGGAAGTTGTCATTGACAGTTTAAACATTCATGGGTGTCAATGGGAGTCCAGGGATGCTCTTGGCTGTTCGTCCCCAGCCCAGGGAGATTGGGACAAGAGTGTTCTGGGAATGAGAAACTCACATCCTGCTTCCCCACTTCCAAGAAGTGGGTCCTTCATAAGGGACCCTGAACAACAGTGGTAGTAACATAATAGAGGTTTTTAGAGAGGATACGGAACACTCTCGAGGTGGCCTCTGTAAAAGCTGAAGGCATCCCAGTAAAACAAGTCCCAGTACTAACGTTTCCTGGAAGTGGGGGCAGAAGGAGTGCTACGTAGTCAATGACATTAAGGAATAATTAACGATGACAATAACACGAAGCCTGGTTCTCAGGACCAGTGGGGACCTGGTTTGGCAAAGCAGAAAGAAGCCAGGATTTTGAGCCAAACCAACCTGGCTTTGAATCTTGGCCCTGAAACCGTGCTTCTCGATGTATGGAACCTCTTTGAGGCTGTTTCCTCATTTTAAAATGGGGGATAATAATGTCAGTTTCCCAGAATGAACTGGGATGAACTGATAAAGCAAGGTAAGTATATACTAGCAGACACTGAGTACTGAAATGACGTTTCTGAGGTTAAGAGAAAGGCAGGGGAGGAGACATGATGGGGGGATGGGAAAGGAGAAAAATTTTAAAAATAAAATGAGGATAATACCTGAAGTTCTGGCTCATGTGAAAATTAAATGAGATAGTGCATATAAAACTCAGCACAATGCCTGACATCCTCACTAAATGTTGAGGACTGCTGGGCTGGAAAAGTAGCCCGTGATACCGAGTTCAGGTGTTATTTTCAAAAATACTTAATTTGCATTAACATTCTATTAGTTGTCATCACTACTAAAGAGTTATTATTCCCATTTCGTGGATGAGGAAATAAATAATGCAGGTAAATTAGCCGGTACAGTGTCTGGCACATAGAAAGTATTCAAGAAAAGAGAGAAGACTGAATAGGCAAAAAGAGGCAAAATCATCCTATACCAAAAAACATGGTTTACAGAAAGGAAGCCCTGATTTCACAGACAAGAGGTATCTTTAAAAGAGGTACAAGGGCCTCCCCGGTGGCGCAGCGATTGAGCGCTGGGTTGCGAAGCTGCCTGCAGCCTCTGCAGCGCCGGTTCGATCCCCGGCTGCTTCCCAGCCACCGGAGGAGGGTCCCACATGGCAGGCAGACCTCTCCTGCCGCCCGCTGCTCCCCTCAGCAGTGTTCTTGGGTCCTTCTGCCTGCTCTGCTCCCCGCTCTGACTCTGGTGAATTCTCTCACCCTCCCGCGCTTCTGACTGTACCCAGTGCTTGTATAAATAAATAAATAAATCTTTAAAAAAAAAAAAAAAAAAAAGAGGTACAAGGAGGAGACAGCTTTTCTACACAGGAGTGCTGGCCCAGGAGAAGGGCCCTCAGCACAGCTCTAAGGTGGGACGAGGATGAAGCACCTGGAGACAGGTGGGCCACCCTTTGCATGCTTAAGGGGAAACACCAGTATTGGTGAGGCATCCCCACTGAGAGCTCAGGATCGCCCCATATCTTCCCATGACTGGACTCTTCAGAAAGGAGGAGGAAGAGCAACCCAGAGACAGAGACACCCCTCTTGACTCCTGCTGGTGCCTGCTCCCCTCGTCCCAAGCAGGGTTCTGTCCCAGGTGCAGGTGTGCTGTGACCCACATACCCTAAGTGTGAGGAGAGCAATCTGACCATGCAGAAATTAACTCCTTTCACCTTGTAGTTCAGAAATTATCACATGTTTGGCTTTTTTGTTTTTTTGGGCTACTCTCTTTTATGTGCATTCATTTGACTTGTTTCCCTGGCAACAGGAAGCAAAGAAAAATGCTCTCAAAACGAAGGTACAGGTTGTGTTTTCTGTTCGCATCCTGGGGGGCTGAGAGCTCTGCTTAGGAGCAGACATGACTCCTCCATTATGTAAATTACTCACAACAGAGCCTCCCAGCTTCTCCAGTTTTGTTTAATAGAGATGGTGGGGGATGGGCCAGGTGAACCAGAGCTTAAGGAACTGCTATGGTGAAAGGCAAAGAACAGTTTTCCTTCAGAGTTGAGGCCACACCGGGCATCCTCCTGGCAAACAGCTCATCGTAACTGATCTTCACAGCTCCAAAAGGCTCCGGTGGGCAGTGGCTGGGAGACCTGTGGCCGCCAGGCAACGAACAGCTCACCTGTGCTGGCCACTTGGCTCCTGGGTCTGGCAGGTAGGGGCATCTTTTGCCACCTGGGATTTGCCCTCAAGCACCTGCCAGATCCTCTGCATGCCTGGGAAGAAGTGAGGGCCTGTCAGCACTGGTGCTGGTGGGTGGGTAGGTGAGCAGAGGCCACTAAGCTGAGGTTTCTGGGGCCACAGGTGAGACCAGAAGAGGGGGTGCAGCGTGAAGTTGTGGTGCTGAGGGACCAGGGAAGGCAGACTTCTCACCTAGGCGAAGCCGGTGGGCCTTGTCTGAAAAGACCAAACGGAACCAGCCAGGCTCCTGGCACTCGAAGGCCTTGCCGAACGACAATAGCACCTTGTTGTCCAAAAATCGGCGCCAGAGCAGCATTTCCTCCTCGAAGGTGCCCTCACGCAGGTACTGGGGGCGGGGGGCGGGGGTTCAGCATGCAGATGCGTGACCCCTGCCCTCACCTGCCAGAGGGAGGCTAACTCTCCCTCCCCGCTCATACCTCCACTTGCATTACCTGCCTCAAGTCAACCCAGATGAAGAAGCCAGCCCCACGATTCAAGAAGGGGATCCCCAGCGCCTCAAGCTCTTCTGATATGTAGGTGTGGGCAGCCTTGAGCCGGGCATGGTTTTCGGGCAGATACACCTGGCTGATCCATTCTGTTTAGGTGAAAGAGAAGCCAGAAGATAGATCCTCCCATCAAACTTCCCCCTCGGTCCCGTTAATATTAATGCTGAGAAGAAAAAGACCAGGGGCCGGCAAAGGAAAACCCAGGAGTGGGTTGCTGGGCCATTTGGTAAGTGTACGTTTAACTTGACAAGCAATTGCCACGTTGTCTCGCAAAGTGGCTGCCCCTACCCCAGCCTGTTCCCACTAGCAGAGCACGAGCATCCCAGCGGCCCCGTGTCCTCACCAACACTTGATGTTGTGGCTATTACTTTTTTTTTTAAGCTGTTAGAGCAGTTGTATCTTGCCTGGCCCTCCTCCTCCTCGTCCATAAAACAAAGGGGGAAGCCAGGAATACCTGCTCCTTAGGATGCTGGGGAAGGACAAATGAGAGGATGCACTGAGGGCATCGCTCAGCTCAGCAGATGGTGGCAATTACAGGGACTCTTGCTATCTGAACCTGGGGAGAGGGTGGGTCCACTCCAGAGAGAAACTTCCATCATAGCAATGTCCCCTTAATAGCTTTTGTTCTCGCCTTTCAGGCGCTCCCTGATAGTAACAGCTTCCCAAGGGTGGAGCACCTATGACCTGCGGGTACTATTATTGTAACTGAATGACAAATCACACAACCCCAACAAGAGAGCTGCCATTAGGACCCCTGTGTTGCAGACAAGGGAGGTCAAGGAATGAGCTGTGCAGCGAGGAAGTGACCAAGCAGGGTATGAACCCAGCCTGGGCCCAGAGCTGTCGCCCTCCAACCCCACCCTGAATCCTTCTCCTGGCAAGAGCATCCATGATCCCTGGCCCGTCCCAGGTTCACTGTGACCCTCCCCTGCTTCTCCGTCACCAGCCCCGACAGTCACCGTGGTCCCGGAGCAGCTGTGCCATCTGGTACTGCACCAAGCCACTGAGGCCGTGATAGCGGCAGAGGGAGGCCACCGCGGTGGCCACGTCCTGGTTTTCTGTGTACAGCGTCCCGAAGCGGAGCCCCGACATCCCAAAGTCCTGCAGGAGGAAGGCATTGTGGGCAGTGGCCAGAACTCCACAGAGGAGGCCTCTTCCCCCAACACCTTCCCAATACCCCCAGCCGGTCAGGAACCCACCTTGCTGGCCGCCCACATCACGTGGGTCCTCTGGGGGTCAGGCAGCCTGCGGAGACACAGGGGGATCAGGGGCAACACAGCCCCGAGGGAAGTTCCACACCAGAAGGGCTATGTCTTGCTCCCTGCAGTGAGCGCAGTGTCCGGCATGAAGAGGATGCCAAGTTACCGTTTTCTGGGTCTCACTCCCCCGCCCCTCCATAAATGAGCAGGAGTAACGACCCGGCCTCCACCTCCGTCACAGCTTCATGAGGACGGCTCAGAAGACCCGGGAACCACTGAGCAGAGTGGAAAGGTCCGTACAAATACCAGGAACTGCAAAGAGTCCCGGAATGTCAGGTTCACAGCCTTTCTAGATGATCTGGGCCAAGAGTTTGCAAAGCTGTTTCGATGGCAAATTCTTGGCTCAAACTAAATGTAAAGGCCCAATATTTAAAAAACCAGAAGTGCTTGGCCTGTGCAAAGGACTCCAGAAGAATCTGCTGAATGAAAGAGTGGGCAAATGAAGGAATGAACTTGGTGCTACTCTGGAGAGGAAGGAGACTGCAAAGGAGGCCAGTTTCCCCCCATCCCCCTCCTTCTTCCTCAAGGAACCCCAGGGCTCCCCTTTGGAGGTCTCAGAAGCCCCGCTGTTCTGCCCAGACCTCTGGCTTCTCCTCAGGAGACCTGAGGGCAGCAGACCAGCTGGCTGGATGAGGAATCACCCTGGGGCAAGCTGTGCCCAGTGGCCCAGGGCCCCAGGGGGGTGGGGGAGGGGGCTGCCTCACCTTTCCAGGCTCAGGACGCTGTGGTACCCAACCGACTCCTCAAACACCGACAGCATGTACACCTCGTCCACCATCACGTGCAGCTCGTGTCTGGGGGCGGTGCAGGGAGGGGAGCTTGGTGTGCAGGCCAGCGCTCCCCAGGTGGGGTGGCGGTGAGTAGAAATCCAGGACCAAGAACCAAGCCTGGGATTAGCAAACTTTTTTTCCAGGAACACCTGTCTTTGGTTTACTTTTTTCAAATAAACAGGAAATGGATATACAAAGCAGAGGACAGTGGGGCCTTTGCAGAGCAGTGGGGGAGACACGGAGCCCTAGGGCACCTCCACAGAAGGGCATGGCAAGTGCAGACAGACCTAGATCCAAGCCTTACTCCAGCCCTCACTCCAAGGCTCAGTAATGGGGATAATAACAGTAGCCCCCCTAACAGGGCTGCGGGCATGGGATGGAGACGAGGATCTGGCCAGGAGGGGCCAAAGCTCCCAGGGGAACCCACTGTAGGCTGAAGAGGGAAGAACACGCACCAAAGCCCCGGTCAGGACCCTGATTTACACGATATTTTTGGGTGAGTGTGGGGGCTCCTCACCGCTTGGCAAATTCCAGGAACTCCCGCAGCTCTCCTGGGGAGTAGACGTCACCCAGAGGGTTATGGGGGTTGATGAGGATAAGGCCTTTCACCTTCACACCCTAAAACCAGGAGAGGGGCGGGAGATGCTCAGCTCCTCCCCAAGGCCAGAGTCCCACCCTCAATGGGTGGCTCCTGGGGACCGTGATGGGACTGTGGTCCTGACCCCGCATGAGCAGATGGGGGCAGATCATTACACCTGCAGCGCCAACTACGGAAGGAGCAAAGCCCCAGGCCAGTAGCGGCTGCCCTTGTGGGTAGAACCAGGGTGGGAGTTGAACACTTTTAAATCCCTACACTGGGCACAATGCTTTAATGCTTTTCATGTTATTTAATATTTTAATGACTGGGGGAAAAATGAAGAAGAGGGATTTTTGGAAAGTAGATGGGAAAGGAAACACAGGAATACTGCTGCTCTCTGCCCTTCCTTCAGGGGCCTCAGATCCCCTCAAAGGGAGGGGAGCCACCTCCCAAATCACCAGGGACACTTAACTACAGACTGCTAAGCTCCACACCTGCCCCACTGAGTCAGAACCAGGCGAAGTCCTGGTGGTGTTTTTAATCGAGCTTCTAGGTTAATCCTTTCAACCATGAAGTCTGAGAGTCTTCTAAGGTGAAGACCCCTCAAGGGTTTGCCCCCCCAAGCCATGTTTCCATGCTACCCCCTGCCCTGTCCCATACACAGAGTGCCACCCCTACTTCCATGGACAATCAGCCACAGCAGGGGACCCATGCTGCTCAGACCCGCCCCCCAGCCTTGGGTGTGACCTGATGCCCAGACCTCAGAACTAGCTCCTTCCAGCGCCATCTCCAGCTTCTCCACAGTGAGCTGGAAAGGGCGCTTGTCTGGCCCGGTGACCTGGAAAAAAAAATCCACCAATACTGCCAGCCAACTTCAAAGGCCTGGCCCCCCCAACCTGTACTCTGAGAGCCTCTCATTATCCCATCATGTCCAGGCTCCTTCCAACAGTCTCCAGAAAAACACACTGGGGTCACTGCCATCACCCTAACTCCAGGGACAACTCATCCTTCTTAGGTTTGGGGAAGAATCCTCTGGTTAGGGTGCAAGGACTTCCATGTTGAGGTCTGCTCTGCCCTGTTCTCACCCCACCATAGGGTGGCCTTGGCTTCTATGTAGACCCTAGGGATCTGGGCCAGGAAACCCAGGCAATGGGCAACCATGAGCAATAAAATCTCTACTCCCCTTTCACCCGCACCCCCACCGCGAGTCCTCAGCATAGACGTCCGCCATGTCCACCCCCAAACTCAGACGCAGGGAGCTCTTGTTCTACAGGATGGCCCAGGTCCTACCTGGGGTGCCGGGGACTCTCACCTCACTGTCCAGATAAACAAAGACCAGCCGGACATTGCCATAGAGATAGACGTGCTGTGTGATGGCTCCATAGTAAGGGGCAGGGATCAGGAAAGCCTCTGGGGACAGGAGGAAGGCGGGGCCCGTCACCCTCTGTCCGATGCTCCAGACCCCTGTCCACTGGCCCTGCAGCTCTCCGAGCCCTCCATGTCCTGGGAAACATTTGGGGACATGCTTCCTCGCTCAGTCCCAAACTCTCTTAAGTTCTTGCTTTCCTGGAACCACAGACATCAGACCCTGTCCTAATAATTAGCAGCTACAATTTATTGAGACCTTACTATGTGCTGGGACTGTGCTAAATGCCGATTTGTGAGCAAGACAGGAAAGCCAAGGTCACGGCAGAGAGACAGCGTGTTGCACAACCCTGGCACTGCCCACCCCAGGGCGGCTTAGCAAGTCACCTATTTAAGCCCCCTGACTCCAGGGGTCTGTGAGGGCTGAAAGCATTTGCAGCACTCAGCACAGGTGCTGGGGATGCTGCAGGCACAGGGCAGCCCAGCGCTGAGCAGGCTGTGGGCCACTTACCCCCGACCTCACACAGCACGGTGGCCAGGGCTGAGAAGAGAGAGGCGCAGCCATTCAGAACCACCACCTGAGGGGGACACATCCAAACAGAGATGAATCCCCCTCAGGAGGGAGCAAGGATGCCAACCCCTCGCCCCCAGGGGCACTGGGTGAGCCAGATCCCCCGAGGCTCTGTCAGCAAAGCCACTGAAGCTTTCTCCCGACCAACAGCTGAGCTCATTCCTGGGGCTTATTTGTGGGGACCCCGCTCAGGAAGAGGGAGCTGGTCACTCAGAGAATCTAACGGAGATGCAGAGAGGGACCACCAAACAAAGAGGATGCAGGAATTAGACCCAATTGAGGATGAAAATAAGTGAAATAAGTCAGTGAAAGGCAGATCTCAACCACCACACCCTGGCCATCCGCAGGGTGGGGGAGATGGCAGAATAGCAGGGAGAGCCAGGGAGGGGGCTACTCACATTCTCGGGTTTCAGGGCTGCTGGGCTCTTGCAGTAGAAAGAAAGGAACTTGGCCACTTCCTCCCGGAGGCTGGAGGTGAGACAGACAGACAGACAGGCCGCGTGGCAGAGAGACCCTCACCACAGCAGCCCCAAGCTCCCTGGTGCAGGAAGCTGCGTTACCCTTCTCTGGTTTCCACCTGGGGCGTGTGGTCGGTCTCCACTACCTGTGCCAACCTCCCCACCTCCACCCCCACCCCCTCGGCCCCACCACTAGCCCCACCCGCAACATTTTATTCTAGTAGTTCTACCAGAAAACCCACCACAAAGCCAACTCTAAGTATATCAAAAGCAACACTATTAGATCTAGCTAACAATAGTAATAACACTAATTATCATCATCACCATCATCATCATCGCTGCTAATATTTATTGAGCATTTATATTTCACAGGGGTTCTTTGGAGCCTCTTACTCATTTGATCTTCATAACAATGCTATGAAGCAATTATTACTACGACTGTTATTATTTGCATTTCAGAGACCAAGAAACTGAGGCTTGAAGGAGTTAAGACACTTGCTGGGAAGAGGCGGAGTCAAATTCAAGCCCCGAGTTCCCAATCCAGGGCCAGCATCCCGATTATTCCAAGCACATGTGCTTTAGAATCAGTCTTGGAATCAAGTCCTGCTCAGTCACTGAGCCTTAGAGTAGCGCCTGGTCCTGGCCAGTCTCAGCAAGTGCAAAGTCTAATTAGTATTACCTGCCACCTCCCACCTTACCCGGGGCGAAAGGCCCAGCCAGTGCTCCCAAAGCAGATTCTGGTTCCTCTAAAACTACTGGCCTGAAGGTACTCCCCCTGCCTCAGATCCAGAGCCCCCTAAGCTGGGCGTTGGGGAGAAGGCCTAGGGGAGGGCACCAGCTCCCTGAAGAGGCTCTGGGAGACCCCACAATCACCAGGTCTCTAGGACTAGGCCCTCAGCCTTCAACAGGCTCCCGCCTACTATTGCTATTTGGAGTCAGATAATTCTTTGTCATGGGGGCTCATCCTGGCCCCTGTAGGAGTATAGCAGCATCCCCGCCTGTACCAATAAATGCCTGGGGCAGCCCTTCTCAATATGACCACCAAAAATGTCCCCAGGGCGCAAAACTGCCCTGGGCAGAGCACCACTGTTCTATGCCAGAGACTCACAAGAGGTGTCCCCTCCAGTCGGGGTACTGCAGCAGGGCCGGCTCCACCCGCAGCATGTCACTCCGGCTCAGCTGGGGACACAGAGGGGAGGCCAGGGCTGAGGGCTGCAGGTCTCTGAGGTGAGGCCCGCCACATCCACACAGCACGGGGCCTCCAAGGCCACAGGTGTGGTCTTTGCATCAGAGAAACCAGCAAAGGGATAGCACAGGCACAACACTGATGCCCATTTTGCAGATGATGAAACTGAGGTTCAGAAAAGTGAGGTGCCTCAGCCAAGGTCACAGAGCTAGCAAGTGGCTGAGTTCTTAGTTTACTAGGAATTGTTGCCTCCTGATCCAGTGCTGCCTACTCAATGCTGTCAGCTAAATAGTCACCTTGGCTATTTCTAAAGCATCCCCGCCCTGATCAGGTGTGGGGCGGAGGTAGTGAGCCCCAGGGCATCACACACAGAGTCAAGGGAAGGCAGGCCTTGGGCAGGGCATCCAAGGGAGGAAAGGTACCAAGCGCAGGGCTATACCTCCATCCTTTTCCCTTCCCCCTCTTTTACCCCTACAGGCTGCGCTGCAGAAGCCGGAGCCTCGGAGCTCGGAGCACTCGCACTGGGCTCATCTGAACATAGACACTGATTCTGAACGCTGGACATAAGAAAAGTATGTTTAACAGCTCAGTAATTTTTCACATTGACTACATGATGAAGTGGTCATATTTTAGGTATAAATTGACTAAACAAAATATATTACTAAAATGAATTTTAGCATGTTCACTTCACTTTTTATTGCATATTTTATTTCCAAGGGATGTGCTGAGCTGTCTTACAGGGAGAAGCTGGCTTTGGGTAGAAAAGGTCTTTTAAGCACATTCCCTAAATTCCTCTCTCCTTGGGGCTTGGATATTCTGGAACTAGGTTCCTTTGGGTTAGACATCTATAATCCCAACCCTGACTCTGAGGCCCAAGGATTAGATACACCAATCAGGTATTTCTAGTGGTTTGCTGGAGATGGTTCACATCAGGTCAAGAAATCTGATTATTACATTCCAGGAATTTTGTAAGCTATGTTAAAAAAAAAAAAACATTTTCCAAAATTAAATTATGAAAGACATGCAATTACATAACTTATATTAAAATCAAAGTTCATAAGTACTCAAACATCTTCTGAATCTGGCAAAACATTGTACTATATTCTGTGCTCTTGAGGTTATTTCTGTCCATGTGTCAGCCTGGGGGCACAGGACGTAACGTGTGCCTGTGTTGCCTGCCGGGATGTTACATCAGTACCTTAGAATCAGCCAAAGTGGAATATTTACACCATGGGAATTGGCACAAGCTACAAATCAGGTTGTGTCTTGTCTCTGAAGAGCCAGCTAAGTTCTGGTCACACACCACTGAGTGTTTCTGCTCTGAGAGCATGGACCCAGATGCAGGAGGCACTGTATGAGGGAAGAGGCTGAGACATAAATAGCAGAGTAGAAAGTGACTGGCCCAAGAGCACCTAGAAAGCTGTTCCCAACTCAGATCTGCAACCTGGGAGTTCTGGACTGACACTGAGGCAAGCACTAGGCTCCTGTGAGGGAAGTTCAAGGGCAGACAGCCCGTTGGAACTGGGACTTACCCGACTGGACAGCAGGTCAAAGCAGAGTTTGTTTTCACTGGTGCCCAAGTTAATGATGCCCTGGAGAGAAGAGGCACAGAGGTAGGGTGAGCACAGCAGAGGGCAGCCAACAGGAGGTGTCGCAACCCCACTCTGCCAACCACCTCTACTTGCCTTTGCTCCAGCCATGCCCTCCACTCAGCAACCTGATCCCATCCGCCTATTTCTAAAGCCCCGTTCATGGGCCTCCCCTGGTGGTGCAGGTAGTTGAGCGCCATGTTGTGAAGCTTTCTGCAGCGCTGGTTCGATCGCTGGCGAGGGTCCCACATGGCACAGCAGACCTCTCCTGTCTCGCCCGCTGCTCCCCTCAGCAGTGTATTTCGTCAGTCTGCCTGTTCTGTTCCCCGCTCTGTCTCTGGTGAATCCTCTCATCCTCCCGCACATCTGGCCTATACCCCAGTTCTTGTATAAATAAATAAATCTTTAAAAAAAATAAAGCCCCGTTCATATGCCATCTCCTCCAGAAAGCTTTCTGACCCCCAAAGTATTGCTAGTAAGAACTTATAATCAGTGCTCATAACAATAATAGCAGGTAGCATTTACCAAATGCTCTGTGTGGAAGTACTGTGCTACCGGCTTGACATACCTGATCTCACTGAACTGTGACTATTCTATTGAGCAGGTTATTGGTATCCCATTTTAGAGATAAACTGAGGTTCAAAAAGTTTGCATAAAGAGCTTTCACAACCATAAGGAAACAGTGGTGACCTGAACCTCTTCCATCGCAGCTCTAAAGCCTCATAGTTGACAGACTATGGGTCAGAATCACATAAGAGCATTCCAGGTTTCTTGAATCTCCCTGTGTCTGTCTATCTGTCTCTCTCTCTCTCTCTTTCTGTCACACACACACACACACACACACACCAGGGTCCGCTCAATTATAAACAGGCTTGTAAACAGTTTCTCTAAATTATGTCAGATTTCCACTCCGTTAAGGTCACAGGACTTGGGCACTGTGGTCCTGGGCAACGCCAACCTGGGCACTGTCCTATTGGCCAAGTGGGGATCACACCCTGTAGTCTTCTTTTGGGCTGGGGGCTCCACTCACGCTGGGGTTCTTCTCCTCATCATATTCATCCATGTGGTACGTCCTGTAGCCCTCCTCAGCTGAGTCCCAGAACCACTTAATGACTCCTCCTCTGGAAGACAGCTGGGAGCTCCCAGAGGTGAACATGGCACTGGGATCACCCACTCCATAGTGCTCTGGCAGCTTCTGCTCTGGTTTTCTGGGGCATTCTCTTTCCAGACCATCCCTGTTGTTACCATCCAGGTTCTGGGTGGAGGCTGGGCCCAGACAGGTGGGAGGTGCCGCAGCTTCTTTCTGAGGTGGGGTGAACATCTGGGGAAAGACAAGCACACTCAACGCCTGAGCCTTGCAGACTACATGCATCAGAATGCACTGGGAGCCATGGGCCGCCCCCTTCTCTCTGCCCCTTCCTTTAAGTTTCACATTCATTACTCCTTGAGTCCTTTACTAGTTGTAACCATGTGTGCAGTGGCTTCTACCAGTAAATTCTGTTAAGGATCTATTCCCTGCCCGGGGCTGTATTTGCTATGTTCATATGGCTTTAATATATAGCTGCTTTAGCTTGTTTTACTTTTGTGAAAGTTTTTCATTCCGCTGCCTGTGGGTCACCAAAGTTCTTTTTCCTTTCTTGTTGACCTCAATCTCAAAAACCCAGGTTCAAATTTTCTGACTTAAAGCAAAAAAGAGCCTGAAGTCCCTGAAGGTCTTGAGGTAACTTAGGTAAACAGGGGTAAAAGGTAGAACGAGATTATTGGGTGGTCTGGGAGGGATGATAGGAGGGAATGAAGGGGTGGGGCCATCTCTACCAGCACGGGCACCCCAGACAGCAACCCCAGGGCTCTATTTTCATTGGGAGGGAGGGAGCTGTGGGTGGGGGGCTGAATGGCCTCATTCTGCACACAGACATGAGTTCTTGCGCTTTCTACGCCAGTTTCCTCAACTGCCCCAGGGGTTACAGCCGTAACTATCTCACAGGCCTAAGTCAAGACATAAATATCAGGTCATGTAGATAAGGTGCTTAGAACAAGGCCTGGCTCATGCCCAAAGCTCAGCACAGTATTATAACATAAATCCTGGCTGATTTTCCCAGGCCTTGAGGCACAAGCCCCTGACACCAGGAGAGGGCGAACCAGCCCACCCACCCCCACAGCCTGCCCTCCCGCGGGTCAATGTTGCTCCACGCAGTCTTCTCTGGGGTCCTCCCCAAACTGGCTGGGCCCTCCCCAGAGCTCACCTCGGGCTTGGGAGGGCGACGCCCCGGGAGGCCGGGGTAGAGGCACAGCCCTGGACCAGGGGGGGCGGCCGGGCTCCGGGTCGGCGCCGTGCTGGAGCGCAGGGCCGGCTCCAGGGGGACCCCAACCCCAGCAGCGAGACCACAGCACCCCCGCGCGCTCCGCCCAGGCCTCAGGGTCCCGCCAGCGGCTCGGCGGCCGCGGATACAGACGCGAAAGGGCCCTCTGCTGGGCGGCGGGCGCCTGGCGGGCGCGGGCGGAGGAAGTGCAGCCGGCGCGGGCGGCCTGGGGACGGAAGGGCAGGACTTCGCCTTTGCGCCCCGAGCCCGCGCCGCGGGGACCGCCCTTGGCGCTGGGCGGACGCGCGTCGTGCCGGTTTCCTTCGCCCGGACCGCGCCCCGGGGATCCTCAGACGGGGGCGCAGCGGGCAGTCCGCGGCGGGCCGAGCCTGCCCGGACTTTTGAGGGCACAGCTCCCCCGCTCCGGAACGAGGCCGGCGGACACCCCGGCACGGCCCGAGCGCCAGGGCGCGCGTACTCTGACTCGGCGCCTGAGCCGGGGCTCCCCGGGTCCTGCGGGGGCGCGGGCCGGTTCCCACTGCCCCACGGGCCCGAGGCCCAGCCAGGGGAGCGGCCAGGGCCCGGGGCTGCGCGCCCACCTCCGTGCTGTGCAGCCTGCAGCCCCAGCGCCTCTTCCCAGCGCGGCTCCTGGCCTTAGTTCCCCGGTTTTGAGGCACAGCCACCAGCGGTTTCTTGGCGAATGCGTGCCTGGCTGTGGCCACAGAAAAGCCTTTCCTGATAATGTCAGGGGGAAAAGGCTGGCCTAAAGCTAATCCCATACAGGCTTTGTGGACTCCACCCCCACCCCAGGCCAAAGCCAAAGACACTGGGAACTCCAAATCCCATCCCCACCAAAGGGAAGGTGGCTGGGACCTGAGGGTGGGGTTAAGCAGCCAGGTTGGTATAAAGCCAGATACGGGGCTTTGGAGGGATCCCCCATTTTGACTCTCCTCCAGCTCCCAGCATCCGGCCAGCTCTGAGAGTGCCTTTGGGTTTCCAGGTCCGCGGATCGGGTAGGACGCATTAAAGACTTTATTTCCCTATTTTCTCCCTGAGTTGTACATTTTCCTTATTTCCTTTTCCATTGTAAATAAACCTTTTATTAACCTTTTGTGTGTGCCTGTAGTGGAGTATTCATAAGTCCCTTGTAAGCGCGCGGGTGAGGACCCACAGCCAGGCAACCCGCTCAATATCGGGGCTGCCCTATAACAATAAAGGCGAGGGCATCCTGAAAACAGCCTTCCTCACTGAGCGTTTTCATAGGCGTTTGTCTCTCTTCTTTCATTCTGTGCAACATTTGTTGAACAACCTCGGCAAGGGCTCTGCACAGCTCGAGGTGTCTGCTGTGAGGTGGACCACCCAGGTCCCAGGTCTGCAGGAGCTACTGCACTGTGGCACCGTCAGTAGGAAATGTCGCCTTTCCCCAGGAAAGGAAATAGGATTCCTCAACACAAGTATGGCCGGGAACACTTGGCTGTCTTCTGACCTCTCCATCTGCTGTCTTCACGTTGACCTTGCCACTAGCTAACACTGTGTCCTTGAGCAGCTCCAATCTTTTCCCCTCAGTGTTGTGTTTTGCAAAATACTCCATATTCTATTTCATTCAGTTAAGTCTCTTGTGCCAGATCTCTGCAAAGCACTGGAGAACCCTGATGAAAAAAACATTGGGCCTGCATGTTGAACAAGGCAGATTGACCAGTGGGGTGACTATTCAGAAAAGGACCCCGGGTGCCATGGGAGCACACAGCACGTAGATTTAACCCCACCACAAACACATATAGTGGCCCCACATAGGAAGCCCCCCCCGCCACCAAACACACACATTCACGCTTAAACACTTAGGAAGTAATGGCTGAGTCCTGACAAATGAGTCCCAGTTAGTTAGCTGGAGGCTAATTTGTTGGTGGTTTTAAAAAATAGAATTGTTGAAGAACAAGAACCACCAAACCTGTACCCCAGAAAGGGAGGATGGTCACAAACCCCAGTGACTGACAAAAACCACCAGCTGCTGAGAGTGTCTCATCGTCTATAAGTGGTGGGGGTGTCCCCAAGTTGTACAGCACTCAGTCTAAAACTCAGGTATGCCAGGGATTGGCCTTGGAATTCAGTGGGTGTGCTCTGAATAGTTGAACACACTAGAGGTGAAAATGGAAGATCCATCATCAGAGATTTATTTTTAAAAGCCTGAATTCTGAATTCTGAGAAGGGAAAGAACTATATGGAACAGTGCCACATAGCCGCTCCCGCGCAAGATGTGATCCTGCTAGGGATACTGGAAGGGGTGATTCCATAAGGATCCTACGGGACATTGCCTCCAACACCTACAAAGTGCTCCATCCATTAGGGATCATTTTATTTCTTCCTTTCTGGCCTGCCCCAGACAGTATTCTTCACACAGGCTCCTTAGAATTGAAAGAGGCCCCCCAGCCCCCTAGCTCCCAAATGTTATGACAAAGAATGTGAACAAGAAATAAAACAGGCCCAGGATTTAAGAGAATTTGGAATTTATTAGACATCAAATATAAAAATAAACCCATCAAAAAGGGACCCAGAGTGTTCCCTTTATTCCTCTAGGCTTTTCCATTCCTAGCCCTACAAAAACACTCCAAATACGCAATAATTAGTAACAGCAAGGACTAAAAAGATGCAAAGTTTCTAAAAATGACAGATATTCAGTTTAACAAGGTTGATGACTGAGTCAGACGACCCCATTTCTGGAGGAGCCCATTGTTGGCTCAGTCACAGTACCAGGGCTATAGCCAGTGTTCCCCGCAAGACTGACATCAGGGACTCCCCCTGAGCACGTGACTGGTTGGAGTCGCTGGCCAGAAGGCAGGCCACCTACTCCCTCAGCGCATCCTCTGTGAGTTTCTCTGGTTCGTTCAGCTTCTGCTCCTCTAGCACCTGGCAGAACCGACGCATTGCTAGAGGTCCAAATGGGAATAAGGAAAGAAAGATATGGTGAGCTTGTAGATGGGCCCCAGACAAACCCACCTGGTAGTAAACTATTACAGAGCCCCCGTTTAGACATACTGAGCTGTAGCCCTCCCTTCTTTGGGATAGATTTCCAGGTTTACCTGCCATCTCCCTGATGACTCTCTTTGAGCTTCAAGGTCATAGCATCTGCCTGCCAGACACCTTCATGGTAATGGCCCAGGCTTCATCAAGTTTTCTATCTGTGTTCCTCTAGTGTCCCTTCAATCTGCCCCTAGCATCCCTTTGATCTATTTTCCACATTAAACCAAAAGATATTTCTGTAACATAAGTGTCCTTTCCTGTACTCCCGGCAGGCACGGCAGTGTCTATCACAAAGCAATAGACAGTTGTGAACGTGAACATTATGTTCTCCATAATCTGCCAAACAGAATCTGAAAAGAGTCTTCTGTGGTCATCTACCTGTCTATCTCACCTACAGAAGTGGTACCCATATGGCAGGGTATCACTTATTGATTCAGTAGCAGGCACAGAACAGATACCCAAAAGGTCTATCTCAAGCTCTCATATAATGGAGCTTAATTCAAAACATGAAGGTTGAAACAGCTGGTGTAGAGAAGGTAGAGCTACTGGCTGCTGAAGGTCAAAAAAGGGAAGACTCAGGTCTTGGGTTATAGAGGGTTGATCTTTGCAAGGTGCCAATATTGGGAGGTCAGATACCACTCACCAAGCTTGAGGTGCCTATCTGCAAAGTTGAGGCGGAACCAGCCAGGCTCCTTACACTGGTAAGATTTGCCATGGGACAGTATCAACTTGTTGTCCAGGAAGCGGTGGTGGAGGAGCAGCTCTTCCTCGAAAGTACACGGATTCAGGTACTGGGGAAGGCAGAGGGACAGCGCTGAGTCCCAAGACCCAGCTGGCAGGTGTGCCAAAGAATACCTGTCTTCGCTCTTAGAGCTCACCTTTTTCAAGCTGATCCAGACATAGAGACCAGAGCCACGCTTAAGAAAGGGGATCTTCAGCGCCTGCAATTTGTTGGTGACATACCTGTGAGCTGTCTTTAACCGGAAGCGGTTAGTGGGCAGGTACACTCGGTCAATCCAGTCTGGATGGGTAGGGGAAGAGAGCAGTCACAGGCCTTTGCTCCATATGTGGGCTCGTGCCAGCTATTTCTAGCTGTTGCTTTCGAGCCAATGGCAGCCATACCCATACCCAGCAGCCATACCCAGCACACTCCCCTAACTACAGCTCTGGTGGAGACACTGGACTCTAACAGTCCAGTAAGAATGTTCCTTTTGGGGCCTCCCCTGGTGGTGCAGCGGTTGAGCACTGGGCTGCTAAGCTGCCCGCAGCCTCTGCAGCGCTGGTTCGATCCCCAGCCGCCAGCGAGGGTCCCACATGGTGCGCAGACCTCTCCTGCCATGCCCATTGCTCCCCTCAGCAGTGTATTTCATTGGTCTGTCTGTTCTGTTCCCCGCTCTGGCTCTGGTGAATTCTCTCACCCTCCTGCACTTCTGACTGTACCCGGTACTTGTATAAATAAATAAATAAATAAATCTTTTTTTTAAAAAAAAAAAAGAATGTTCCTTTCGGACTTATACCACTGAAGCAAGGAATTGGGGTGTTACCCTAAATGGGTCCATGCTGCTGTTGTCAACTACACAATTATACACAGAGTCCCTTACTTCCGTAGGGCTTCACCCAATGGACTCTGAGGAGCCTACATGCTTGGGGATAATCTTAACCCAGTTGTTCTCAGCATTGAAAACATACTAAAACTACCCCGGGTTGCTGTTAGAAGTCCTGATGCCCAGGTTATATCCCCAGATGCTCTAAATCAGAATTTGGGAGGGGTGGAGGCCACACATCAGTACTTAAGCTCTCCAGGTAATTCCATTATGATCTAAGGTTGAGAACCAGCATTGAAGGGGCAGGAAATCTGGCTTTTGCTAATTATCAAAGGGCCTGACAGCATGCAGGGACATAGCCGGTAGCTTTCTCCTATCCACCGCTGTCCCCACCCAAAGCTGAAAGCAAACTTTCTAATCCCAGTTATCTGATTATATTAATTTGTTTCATTATATCCCATCTTTTCATTTAGATCAGGGCTGGTATCTGCCCTGATCTAGTGAATTAAAGAAAGGAGGTCTTAAAGGGGAAGTTCCCTCTGTAGCCAGCATTCACTGGAGATGCAAAAGGAAGGTGAACCAAGGTGCCACAGATTCAGACACACCAACTTGCCCAAGTGTCGGCCCTCCCGGCACCTTGGCAGATGAAGTTAAATCACACCAGGGGTCAGCGCATTTTTTTGTAATCTTTGCCCTGAAGTGAGCGGGGCTTGGGGAGAGGGAAAATAGACCTTCACATAAAAATTGATTTCCGAAATTCCTTCCTGCGAGTACGATTGACTATCCCCTTCCTGGGAAGAGAACCAGCTCCTAGAACAGCCAGATGTGAAAGCCCAGCCTGTGTTTTAAAGAGCACCGCCATCTTCTGTCTGTGCCCCCACGGCATCATCTGAGCTGCTTTCTACCTCCTCTAAACTTCCTGTCCTACCACACTTAAACCTGACACCATGAATAGAGTCTCAGTGTATTCACTGAGTACATGTCAGAGACCCAAGCAAACCCAGAAATTCCCCATGGTGAGGGGGTCCGGCCATGATGTCAGTCTTGGGTGTAGGTCAGTACCTCTGTCCTGGAGCAGCTGGCACACCTTGTACTGGATGAGGCCACAGAGGCTGTGAACGTAGCCAAAGGCACTCATGGCAGAGGCCACCTCCTTGTTGTGGGTGTAGAGCACACCAAGACGGAAGCCAGAGATGCCAAAATCCTAGAGGCAGAGAGTACGGGAGGAATGCCTGGTGTGCCGGCATCCCACTCCTGGCTCCCCTATCTTCCTACTCAAGAACAGGCAGCTGGGGCTTACCTTACCGATACCCCAGAGCATGTGGGTCCTGTCAGGGTCAGGCAAACTGGAGAGGAGACACAATACAATGAAGATTATGGAGATTATTTGAGGATGAAGACCGTCATCCTAGGGTATCTTAGGGTCTTGGAGGGGAAAGAGGAAGTGGACTTAACCATAGGACCTACAAGGCCCAAAGTTCAAGAGACAGATGCCCCAGTTAAGACAGAAAGCAACACAAGGTGTCCTTGGGGAGTTAAATGGGATGACCCTCAAGCACCCTCTGAGTGAATTCCAGAACCTCATGCCAGCTCAGGGCCTTCCCACAACTGCTCCACAGCCACGTTTCTTGGCAGCTGGCTCTCACACACTGGGCCTCCACCATTTCCAAATGTACTCACTGCCCTGCTTTGGTGAAGCTGTTCCTTCTGCCAAGCATGTCCTTTCTTCACTTTACTTGCTGGTGCTAGGGCCATACACTACCCTTAAGAAAGTTCTGCCCTGTTTCTATTCTTTTCCCATGAAAAACTCCTTATCATGAAATTTTATCCTGGTTCTGTAGGACCTTATCTTGACTTTTGACAGTCCACGTTCAGCCCTGCCCTCAAGTTCACTCATGTACAAAATGGCATTTAGAGGAGACACTTGGAAAAATGAAGCTTCAATCATTTTCATAATACCACTGGCACTTAACTCAGTTCCCAGCGACATCCAGTTAAGTTAACGACCTATGAACTCACCTTGCAAAGCAGCAACCTCATGGTTGTCATTCCCAACTCCAGTGGAGAGCAACTCACCTTTTAATGCTCAGAACACTGTGGAACGTGGTGGATTCATCAAACACAGAGAGCATGTAAATCTCATCGATAATCACATGTAGGCGGTACCTGCAGGTTGGGACAAAAGAGAACGATATCTAGGTTGTCTGCCTGATCAGGACTCACTTTCTTTTCTGGACATCTCTGGATATAGATCAGATGTGCCCACTGCCCTAGCAGCCCACCGAACCCTTCCAAGAGACCTGGTAAGGTAAATGTGGGAGGTACACCAGAAGGGGCCCTTAAACCTGGAAGGAATTCAGAAGACACTCATGAGAAACTCTTCCCTAATTTCTCAAGCATCAAGCAGATCCTATGGGAAAAGGCTGTATGTCCCAGAGTTCAGGGTACAGTTGGGGGCTCTGTTCAGGGTCTGAATCTAGTAGGGGCATTAGTGGCCCAAGGCCTTAAGCACATCAGCTCAGTTATACTCCCAACTGCCCTCTGTAGCAATACTGTGATCTCCATCTTGCAGATGAAGAAATTTAAGATTCTGAGATAGAAAGTTCCTTCAATTCACCGGTGCTAGAGCTGGGATTTGAACTCAGTTCTGTCAAATTTCAGCCCACAGCCTCCAGCATTTTTCCTCTTGTCCCCATGCTCAGCCATCAATGGTCTGAATTAGTTATGACATGTGAATAAGTGTGTTTCTTCTAGAAAAGAAAGATTACCCTAATAGAGTTATGTTCAGGAACTCCAGAGACAACTGACAGTAGCATGTTCTTAGGAACTGGACACAAAAGTTTTATAGGGATGTGTCTTCACCCCACAAGGGCTGAGGATGTCTTCCTTGTCCCCCTTGGATTGAGTAGTTTGGGAAATGGGGTTGGGAAAAGGTATTTATGCCATAAGAAGTGGAAAAGCAGAACTATAATGATTGTTCCGCAGGTGTCTATACCTGGGCAAAGGTGAGGGGCAAGACTATGAGTGCATTTGCCTTCATTTCAGTTCATTGCACATAACTGCAGAGCACAGGACACACTAGGAGTATTTAGGGTCAATTATTTCCGGTTCCAACTTCTTGACTGCAAGCAATGGGAACCCCTTTGTGGGATTTCAACTGGTCTCAAGGAGTAGAACTCATACCTCTTGGCAAATTCCAGGTATTCTTTCAGTGAGTCTAGAGAGTAGATATCACCCAGGGGATTCTGAGGATTGATGAGCAGAAGGCCTCTGACCTTTTTTCCCTAAGAAGAACCAGATATACCTCAACAAACACAAATCCTTCCTAACTACCTTAATACTGGTCAAAGATTGGGTCAGGATTCCCGCAATAGAACCCCTGATCAAGGTCTGGGTAGGATCTCAAAGAGGGCGAACATAAAACGTTCTGCGGGCTCAGGACTCTTGTGAGGACATGCTCATTCACTGCTTCTCCTAAGGAGCCCCCAGTCTTGGAGAACAGTTATTCTAGAATCAGTGTTATTCAGCCCCTTTCAGTGCCCGCCCTGAAGATGCAGTTCTCTCCTTACTTTAAGCTGAGCCTCAAGCAGGGCTTGCTCCAACCTGCCTACTGTGAGCTGGAATGGAGGCGTCTCTCCATCTGTGACCTAGAAGACAAATACTGCCTGGGAACTGCCTGTCAGAGCAGCCTTGAAGCCATGATGCTGCACTCTTATAAACACCAACAATCCCTTGTCTTCACACCCACGTTGCCTCCCCGCCCCTGCTTTCCCCACCAGTCATATGGCAAGAAAGCAAGACCCCTTACACCTTTCAAGTGCCCCTAGAACTTCTACTGTCTAGGTGGGCTGAGCAGACGAAGGTCCCCATTCTGACCTCACTGTCCAGGTGCACATGAATCAGCTCGACGTTTGCATACAGGTTGGAGGTAAAGACCAAGCCACCATAGAAAGGTGTGGGGGTCAGAATGGCCTCTGGAAGCACAGGGAGACAAAGCTGTCAGTCCAGGGACCCAGTCAGAACCTGCCCCCAACAGCAGCAAAGCTACGGAGAAGGTTGTTTGGCGATCTCTCCTACTTGGGGCTTAATGCCTTTAGACTCAGTCTCCAGACAAATTATCTGTCCTCATAAACATTACCTATGGGACAAAACTCAAATTCCTTCCTGCCAATATACTAGAAAGGGAGGGGATGGAAGACTGTTGCTGTGAGGATGTGGAATCTAGGGTGCAAATCGAGCCAGGCTTGTGATCAGGTAGACCCTGCTTGTTGGGCAAGTCAGCTCCTGGCCAAACACTGGAGGCCAAGGCCAGGTCCAGGCTCAGGTTACTTGGGCCTGGTGATCTCACATGTTCATTTCTTCCCATCTGTTTGGCCTCACTGAGGGACACATTTCTGTGAGTGGCCAACTTGGTAACTTCTGCTCACGCAGCCAGAGCTGGTGAAGAGCTGAGAATCTTGACTGGGCATTATTAAGAGGGAAATTGAGAACAGACCTTTCAGACTTATTTGGTTTTAAATTAATTAGCCCTTTTTTTTGGAGGTAGAGGAACAGGATATCTACATGAACTCAACCAGTTCACCAGGGCTGTCTGTATTAGAGTTGAGCTCCAAAGTCCAGCTAATAAGATAATGGCCACTGTCACCATCGCTGGGGCCTTCCTCCTTGGGGACTGACACGTGTTTTCCTTGCATGTCAAATGTGGATCCAAATCCCTCTTCCTTCAGAGATAGTAGGAAGATGTTCTAATCAGTGTGAAAACCCTAGCACTTTAGGGGTAAGTCCTTGCTTCAAGATGCTTTTCTTCCCTATGGCCTGACCCCATGTTCCTGTCCTTGGCTCTGGCCTATGTGCTGCCAATGCTCCAAGGGAAAGCAGAACCCATGACTTACCCCCTGGATCACATAGAACCGTGATTAGCGCAGAGAAGACAGAGCAGCAACCATTCAGAACAACCACCTGAAGATGATGCATAAAGAGAGAAGTAAAAAACCAATGCTCGGGCCTCCCTGGTGGCAGAAGGGGTTAAGACGTAACCTACGAAGCTCACCACAGCCACTGCAGCACGAGTTTGATCCCTGCCACATGGTGCAGAAGACTTCTCCTGATTCACCTGCTACTCCCCTCAGCAGTGTATTTTGATACATGTGCCTGTTCTGCTCCCTACCTTGTGTCTGGTGAATTCTCTCACCCTCCACATCTCTGGCCTATACCCCAGTTCTTGTATGTATAAAGAAATAAATAAATAAATAAATAAATAAATAAATAAATAAATAAATAAATAAATCTTTATATATATAAAAAAAAACAATCCTGTGAAAGAAGGGGACACCCCTGGCTCCCTGCCCTGGAAGGGATAGATAAAAGGATCTCCTGAGCTGAGAACATTGACCTTTACTCTGCCCTGGCCCTGAGGGTTTCTGCCTGTTCTCCCTGCATCTTCTAGAAAATGCAGAGTCCCCAAGGAATATGGCCCTCCTCCGGGTGGCATCAAGGCTGGAAACTGACTCACATTTTCTGGATCCAGTTGGCTGGGTGCCTTGCAGTAATAGGTCAGGAACCGGGCCACCTCCTCCCGCAGGCTGTAGACAGACACAAAGAGAGTGTGGTTCCCAGGATCAGGAGTGCCCTCCCTCACTCAGGAGCTGAACTTCACCCTCTTCCAAAGGACAAAGCCCCCAACCTCATTTTCCGGGATTACTGACTAAGGCTGTCAAAACCTCAGGCAAGAAGGGCAAGAAGCCTGGAGTTTGGACCAGAACTCAGGGCAGTGCCATACAACACCTGCCTGCCTCCTGGTGAGGGTTGGCTGTAGGTATTCTCTAGATTTTTCACCAAAGAAAAGGGAGGCAGCTATTCAAGAACCTGGTGCCTGGATCTTTCCCTGGATGAGGACAGGTGCCTGTGACCAGGAAGCCATAGATTTAGAGGTACTTACAAAGGCTGTCCTCTGAAGTCAGAATACTGCAGCAGGGATTCCTCAATGTAGTTCATATCCTTCTGACTCAACTGTTGGCAAGAAGGGCATAAGGACAGCAGACCAGGGAAGCCCAAGGAGTTTTATCCTGTTCCTGGGACATATGAGGGTGTCTGTCCTGCCCTACCGGACTTTCCAGAAGAAGAGTGGGTATATATGCTGGATAGTGTGTAGAGGCCCTTGATGAATGACAGCCCTCCATTAATGAATGAAGGCCTCGATTTTCTTATCACAGATTACACAAGGAGATATTACACTGGAAGTGTTTGACCCAAGTCTACATTTGGGTCAGAGACCCGTTGGTGGCCTACCCACACATTCTCAAACAGGGAATACCTCTGAACACAGCTGCAAGATAGTGAGTTTAGATGTGCTATTCTAGAAGCTGTTTCCCCCACTCCCTTTCCTAGACTTTTTAAAAAAGATTTATTTTTATTTTATTTTACATATATGGACAGGAGTGTAGGCTAGAAAGACAGGGGGTTAGAGGATTCAGCAAACACATAGTGGGGAGCAGAACGGGTGGATCTATTGAAATACACTGCTGAGGGGAACAGCAGGTGAGACAGGAGAGGTCTGCTGTGCCATGTAGGTCATCTCCCTGGCCAGGGATCAAACTCATGTCTCAGTGGCTGGCAATAGCTTGATGGTACTGAGACTTTAACCCCTGTGCCACCAGGGAAGCCCCTTTTCCTAGACTTCTAAATCTATTATCTACCTGTATCTACCACATGCTGAAGAATACTCCAGGGGGACTGGACCTGTAGGTGGGTCTCAGCACAGCTGGGAATATGGCTTACCCTTTTGGTCATCAGATCAATGCAGAGCTTGTTCTCACTGACACCAAGGTTAATGAAGCCCTGAAGACAAAGGAACTGGAGATCAGTTGGCTCTCTTGCCCTACCTTTCTGAACATGTCAATTAAGTTCTTACCCCAGATTCGTTAAAATGGACACCTCACTGCCCTGTGAGGCACTTCAATCCATGTTTGACAGCTTTAAATGGTGGAAAACTTTCTTTTTTTTTTTTTTTTTTTATAAATTTTATTGTTATATTCCCCATACAATTGCAGCCCCCCCATTCTGACCCCAATCCCTCCCCTCCCGCCCCCGCCCCCCTAAAATTGTCTCTGGTTCATAGTTTTTTGTTGATTTTGATTTTCACTTTCTTATAGTTATTCATTTTCCTGGTCCCTTATTTAAGTTTTCTAGATTCCTGCTATGAGTGAGACCATCCGGTATTTTTCTTTTTCTTTCTGGCTTATTTCGCTGAGCATGATCCCTTCCAGCGCCATCCATGTTGCTGCAAATTGCATGTGTTTATCTTTTTTGAATGCTGAGTAATATTCCATGGTATATATGTACCACATCTTCTTGATCCAGTCATCTATTTTTGGGCATTTGGGTTGTTTCCAAAGCTTAGCTATTGTAAACAGTGCTGCTATAAACATAGGGGTGCAGGTGTTCTTTGGAATTGATGTTTCTGTGTCCTTTGGGTAAATACCTAGGAGTGGAATTCCTGGATCATATGGAAGCTCTATGTTTAGTAGGTCCAGAAATCTCCACACAGCTCTCCACAGTGGTTGGACCAGTTTGCACTCCCACCAACAGTGCAGAAGAGTTCCTTTTTCTCCACACCCTCGCCAGCATTTGTTGTTGCTAGTTTTTTTAATATGTGCCATTCTCACTGGTGTAAGATGGTATCTCATGGTAGTTTTGATTTGCATTTCCCTGATGGCAAGTGATGTTGAACATTTTTTCATATGCCTGTTGGCCATTTGCATTTCCTCTTCAGAGAAGTTTCTTTTTAGCTCTTGTGCCCATTTTTTGACTGGATTATTTTCTTTGTTGTTGCTGAGTCTCATCAGCTCTTTGCAGATTTTTGTGATCAGTCCTTTATCATTAGTGTTGGGTGCAAAAATGTTCTCCCAGTTGGTGGGGTTTCTCTTTGTTTTTGTTATTGTCTCTTTTGCTGTGCAGAAGCTCTTTAATTTGATGTAGTCCCAGCTGTTTATCTTTGCCTTCACTATCACTGCTTTGGGTGATGTGTCTGTAAAGATGTCTTTGATGTGCAGATCACGTAGTGTTTCGCCTATATTTCCTTCTATATATTTTATGGTTTCAGGTCTTATGTCTAGTTCTTTAATCCATTTTGAGTTGATTTTTGTGTATGGTGTGAGGTAGTGGTCAAGCTTCATTCTTTTGCATGTAGCGACCCAGTTTTCCCAGCACCATTTATTGAACAAACTTTCTTTGCTCCAATGCATAGTCTTTGCTCCTTTGTCAAAGATTAGTTGACCATAAATCTGTGGATTTATTTCTGGATTTTCTATTCGATTCCATTGGTCTGTATGTCTGTTCTTGTTCCAATACCATGCAGTTTTGATGATTATGGCTTTGTAGTATAGTTTGAAGTCTGGGAGTGTAATGCCTCCATTCCCTTCTTTTTTTTTCAGGAGAGCTTTGGCTATACGGGTTTTTTGTGATTCCATATGAATTTCATCAATAATTGTTCTATTTCTTTGAAGAATGACATTGAAATTTTGATTGGAATAGCATTGAATCTGTATATTGCTTTTGGAAGGATGGCCATTTTAATAATGTTTATTCTTCCAATCCACGAGCAGGGGATCTCTCTCCATTTCTTTGTGTCTTCTTCTATTTCTTTTAACAGTGTTTTATAGTTTTCTTTGTATAGGTCCTTTATCTCTTTTGTTAGATTTATTCCCAAATATTTGATTTTTTTTGTTTCAATAACAAAAGGGATGGTTTTTTTTATTTCTTCTTCTTCAGATTTATTGTTTGTGTATAGGAAGGCTACTGACTTTTGCATGTTGATTTTGTATCCTGCCACTTTACTGAACTGATTGATGAGTTGAATTAGCTTTTCTGTGGAGTTTTTGGGGTTCTCTATGTATAATATCATATCGTCTGCAAATAGTGATAGTTTGACTTCTTCTTTTCCTATTTGGATTCCTTGGATGTCTTTCTCTTGTCTTATTGCCCTGGCTAGGACTTCCAGTATTATATTGAAAAGCAGTGGTGAGAGTGGACATCCTTGTCTTGTTCCAGATCTTAATGGAATTGCTTTCAGCTTTTCACCATTGAGAATGATGCTGGCTGTTGGCTTGTCATAGATGGCCTTTATGATGTTGAGGTATGTTCCTTGTATCCCAAGAATTTCAAGGGATTTTATCATGAATGGGTGTTGCACTTTGTCGAAAGCTTTCTCAGCATCTATTGATATTATCATATGGTTTTTATATTTCTTTTTGTTGATGTGTTGGATAACGTTGATTGATTTTCGGATGTTAAACCATCCTTGTGCCCCTGGAATGAATCCTACTTGGTCGTGGTGAATTATCTTATGGATACATTGTTGGATTCTGATGGCTAAAATTTTATTGAGGATTTTTGCATCAGTGTTCATTAGGGAGATTGGCCTGTAGTTTTCCTTTTTAGTGTTGTCCTTGTTCGGTTTTGGTATTAGTGTAATGTTGGCTTCATAGAACGTGTTTGGTATTGTCCCTTCCTTCTCAATTTTTGGAAGAGTTTGTGAAGGATAGGCACTAATTCGTCTCTGAATGTTTGGTAGAATTCATTTGTAAATCCATCAGGTCCTGGGCTTTTGTTTTTGGGGAGGTTTTTGATTACCATTTCAATTTCGCTAATTGTAATTGGTCTGTTTAGGTGTTCTATTTCTTCTTTATCTAGCTTTGGGTGATTGTAGAGTTGTAGGAATTTGTCCATCTCCTCTAGATTATTAAACTTATTTCCATATAACTGTTCATAGTAGTTACTGATTATTCTTTTGATTTCTGCTGTGTCCGTTGTGATTTCTCCTCTTTCATTGATGATCCTGTTTATTTGTGCTTTCTCCCTTTTTTCCTTTGTGAGCCTGGCTAGGGGTTTGTCTATTTTATTGATTTTTTCAAAGAACCAGCTCTTGGTTTCATTGATCTTTTGGATTGTTTTTTTAGTTTCAATTTCATTTATTTCTGCTTTGGTTTTTATTATTTCTTTTCTTCTACTGGTTTTGGGGTTTTTTTGTTGTTCTTTTTCTAGATCTTTGAGCTTCGAGATTAGGTTGTTTCTTTGAGTTCTTTCTTGTTTCTTGATGTGAGCTTCTATTGCTATATATTTTCCTCTTATTACTGCTTTTGCTGCATCCCATACATTTAGGATATTGGTGTCCTCCTTGTCGTTCAATTCAAAAAATTTTTTAATTTCTTCTTTGATCTCCTCATTAGTCCAGTGGTCTTCCAGTAGTGTGGTTTTTAATCTCCATGAGGTAGGAAAGTTCCTTGCCTTCTTTTTATGGTTTAGTTCTAGTTTGATGCCTTCATGGTCAGAAAAGATGGTTGGTATGATTTCAATCTTGGTGTATCTGTTGATGTTTGTCTTGTGCCCCAGTATGTGATCGATCCTGGAGAATGATCCGTGTGCGCTTGAGAAAAATGTGTACTCCATTTTTTTGGGGTTTAGTGTTCTATAGATGTCTGTTAAGCCCAATTGCTCTAGGTCCTTATTTAGAGCTTTGGTTTCTTTACTTATTTTTTGTCTTGTTGATCTATCCATTGTAGATAGTGGTGTGTTGAAGTCTCCCACTACGTATGTGTTTTCTCTGATGTCTGTTTTCAGAGAAGACAACAGTTGTCTGATATATTTTGGTGCTCCTTCATTTGGTGAGTATATGTTAATGAGTGTTATTTCTTCTTGAAGTATTGTCCCCTTGATCATAATGTAGTGACCATTGGGGTCTCTTTTTATCTTTTTGAGTTTGAAATCTGTTTTATCTGATATAAGTATAGCTGTTCCTGCTTTCTTTTTGGCCCATTTGCTTGTAGGATTGTTTTCCATCCTTTGACTTTGAGCCTATTTTTATCTTTTGTAGCTAAATGTGTTTCCTGGAGACAGCAAAAGGTTGGGTTTTGTTTCTTAATCCAGGCTGCAACTCTGTGTCTTTTTATTGCAGAGTTTAGTCCATTTACATTTAGAGTTAATATTGATATGTTAACATCTGTATTTGCCATTGTGTTTGTCTTTCCTTTGATTTTATTTATTTATTCTTTTAATAACTTTTTTTTTTTTGGCCTTCTTTCATTGTTATTCGTCCCTCTGAGGTTCTGGCTTTAGGACTCCTTATAGTATTTTTTGGAGTGGGGGTTTAGTTGCAATGAAATTCCGGAGTTTCTGTTTGTCTGGGAAGGTCCATATTCTTTCTTCAAAGAGGAAGGAGAGCTTTGCGGGATAGAGTATTCTTGGTTGGCATCTGTTTTCTTGGAGTCTGTTGACTATGTCCCTCCACTCTCTCCTTGCCCGTAGTGTTTCTTCGGAGAAGTCTGATGTCAGCCTGATTGGCTTTCCTTTGAATGTTATCTGTTTCTTCCCTCTTGCCAGCTTCATTATTTTTTCCTTGTCCTGGATTCTTGGGAGCTTTACTATTATGTGTCTTGCTGTATTTTTTCTTTCGTCGTGGAAGTTTGGTGTTCTTCTTGCTTCTTGTATATCAATTTTCAGCTCCTTCTTCACATTTGGGAAGTTCTCTTCAATTATCTCTTTGAATATTTTCTCTGTTCCTACTTCTCTCTCCTCTCCTTCTGGTATTCCTATAACTCTTATATTTCCTTTCCTCATGGAGTCAGATAGTTCCCGAAGTCTTTCTTCATTCTTTTTCCTTCGTACTTCTCTTTCCTTTTCTGTTTTGGTTCTTTTTATTTCTGTGTCTTCAAGAGCACTTATTCGTTCTTCCATTTCATCAATTCTGCTTTCATTGCTTTTCCCAGAATTCTTTAGTTCTTCCACTAATTCTTTGATCTCCTGCATTTCTTTTACTTCCCTCTTTAGGGACTCAATTTCATTCTTCTGATCGTTGATTATTTTTCCCTTATCATTGTTTTCCTTTATGACTTCTGTCAGTTTTTTAATCACGGCAATTTTAAATTCTCTTTCTGGAAGGCTCAGAAGTTCTTCCAAGTTACTGTCGTTGCCATCTGGGGGCTGGTTTTCTTTTTGTGGTGTGCTTTTTCTCTGGAGAGTTGCTAGGTTGCGTGTGGTTCTTCTCCTCTCTACTGTCTGTTTTCTAATTTGCCGTATGCGTTGGGACACTGTGTTGTTGGGACTGGCCGGCATCTTGGGTGGGCTTCTCTTCTCCCCTCTGGTTCCTCCTGGAGTCATCTGTCAGTTTCAAGCAGTCTTTATTGGAGAAAGGTCCCTGTCCTAAAATGTCGATGTGGGGACACACTCCCCTGTGCGCCTGGTCTGCCCCGGCGGTGGGTTCCTGCTCCCCCTCTGGGCTTGGACTGCAGGCCAGAGGGGGTCTGGCGTGGGCGAACTTCCCCCGCTCACCTCTGGCTCCTGAGGAAGCCTTCTGCAGGTAGTCTTTACTGAAGAAATGTCCCTGTTCTAAAATGGTGATGTGGGACACACTCCCTGCGCGTCCAGTGTCAGGCACACTCTTCTGCGTGCCTGGTCTGCCCTGGCTGTGGGTGCTCGCTCTCCCTGTGGGCTCAGACTACTTGTTCGGAAGGGGCCGGGTGTGGGCTAACTCCCCAGCTGGCCACTAGTTCCTTCAGGAGCCTGAGCTGTCTACAAGTCGCTAGGTGGCGCCAAAGATCTCTCCTAGAGCCCTTGGGGAGCTGATTTTCCACCCCGTGGGACAGGGAGCAAAGCGGGGATGGTAGGGTACACCTCAACGGCTTTGGGGTGCTGTGTCTGCCTTGTGCCCCACCGTCGTGGGGAACCCACGCCCCGAATTTCGTGCCCCGGGTCTCAGTTCCAAAGCCCTCAGTTCCAGGACGCGGGCTGTAGCCCAGTTCAGTGGCGCGGGAAAATGGTGGAAAACTTTCTATAAACCCAAACTCTCACAGCTTACAAGGCCCCCACTTTAGAATCACATAGGTACCTCAGTTATATTATGAACCAGCTGCAGACATTGAGTTCTTATATGCCAGACACTGAACTCAGACTTTCATGTGATTTGCCTCAATTCTCACACTCCTGAGAAAAGGGTTCCACTATGATCCTGGATTTAAAGGGAGCGGAGCGAGGAAGGTTGGAGAACCCAGAAGCCATGTGACCTTGGTGACGGAATATCTTCACCTGCTGCACCTGGCTCTTTAATGATCCCACATCCAACTCTGCTTTTCCTTGCATGGAAAGTTTCCACCTACCCCACCAACACCTCTTGTCATAGCACCCACTGTCCCTACTCTGGCCAATGGGATTCCTCTCCCAATCACGCCAAGCCCTCCCCACTCAAAGCTTCCCACATGCTGTTCCTCCTTCCGGGAGGGGCCACAGAGCTATCATGGCTGACTGATTCAGTCTCTAAGACCCATTTGTGTTCAGGCTGTCCCCTAGTGCTCCTGGACACAGATCAATGTTCATTTCACCAGCGTGAGTTCAAGTTCACAGACTACTATGATCCTATTGACTCCCAATGGGTAAGAGCAAGGATTTAGAGAAAGCATGCTGTGGAGAGAGGAACCCAGATGCATCCCTTCAATTTCCTTGGCACGTCACCTGTTTCTGTGCCTCCTACCTTGTCTAAAAAAGGCAAGTGTCTACTTCATGGGGCTGAGAAGAGTAAGCGGGCACAGGGCAGTAAATCCCACTGACAGAGGCCTAGAGTCTTCCCCCATCCTCACCAAGGTGTTCTTGTCCTTGTGGAATTTGTCCCCTAGGTAGGACTGGTAGTCCCGGATGCTGGCCTGGAACAACGTGGAGGTGGCAATCCCCCGGGTGGACAGATCATGGGTCCCAAATGCAGATTCAGAATCACTCAGTTGGTGAAGGGGTTGGTCCAGCTGCCTGGGTGACTGGACCTGTTGCTCAGCACCAACATCACCCCCAGAGCCCAGGGAAGGGCTGGGCAGACCCGGGGCCCCAGACTGGAGGAGGCCGATCACCTGGCACATCAAGTGGCTCAGGAGGGCCGCCTGATCCTGGGCGGCCTGGCTGCTCCCCTGTTCCTCCAGCACCAGCTCCCGCTGCGGGTGCTTCGAGGCCTGCTGCCTGAGGCACTCCTCTATGGTCTTCTTCAAGTGCAGCATGGTCTCCATCAGCCTCTGGGCTCCAAGGCTCTGGTCCCCCATCTGGCCACGGGGCATGTGGAAGGTGTCAGATGGGTCACTCATTCTCTGGGGATCTGTCGTGGCTTCAGCAAGCTGGCTGCAGAGGAAGAAGAGAGCATGTACTGCAACAAAGGAGACACTCCCTGACCCCCAGGTCCAGGCTCAATCTTGGGCTGGTCACTGGCTTCTCCCATATCCGTAGCTTAGGCTGAACTGGTTCCAGAAGAGTTGGCTACTCAAGGGCAATGCCTAAAAGCACCTTTTTAAAGCCTTAAAGAATCGACCAAACAAATGTCAGATAGTAAGGAGTCACAGGTAAGAAAACCCGAGGCCAATGGCTGTGTCTAGTTCTTTATCAGACAGTCCCTCACACCCCCTGAGAACTGCTTGTTCGTGTTGGGAAACCTCCACAAACGCCCACTCTGAATTGGGTCCAGGAACCCATTCACTCGCTAAAAAATATATCTGGCCTTATCAGTCTCACAGGGGAGTTCTACCATATATTTAAAGCAAGTATATTATTTAATCCAATTCTATTTATACTGTCTTACAGAATTAAAAATAGCCCCATTTTAAAATTAAATAAATAGCGATCAGATTTGATGATGTTCATATGCAGAACTATGGATAAACCTCACCTCTGATTAGATTATCAAGGATTAAAACCAGAATAGCATTTAATAAATAGGATCCAATAGCACCATAAAAATCACCCTATGACTCTTCCAGAAAAAGGAAAGATAGTTCAGTCCTATGATTCATGTTACTCTTTCATTAACAGATCTCAGGGATAGGAAATCACTTGATTTTAATCTCTAGATGCTAAAAAGAGAACTGACAAATTTTTGTTTTTATTTTAGACAACTTAATAAGATGAAGTGATTTAACATGAGACATCTCTCAGCCAAAAAAGTCAGTCTCCTACTCATGCAAGCCTCGAACTCATGAAACTCAGTTAAGGCTGTCTCTTGTCACTGCTAGATAGCATTATCCCTGAGGTTTTAGATAAGAATATTAGGCAAGAAATTAGAGTTTAAAAAAGAAAGAAACTAGTTAGAAATAGCAATATTCCAGATTTCCTATCTTTGAACAACTCTACCTGGAAGACAAGAGAATTAACAGAAAATCTGTAAGAGAATTTAACATAGTTATAGAACAGGGGCTCACCTCATGCTTTTGTAAGTCCAGTTTTACTGGGCCACAGCAAACTACTCACATGTATACAGGCCAGATGGCAGAGGTTAAGTCCAGACCAGCATTCTCAACCTGGGTCACTTACGTAATGAGGGAGCCCAGTGACCGGCTGCCCAGCAGCACCATCAACCAGCAGCTTCATTGTTATTTCATCCTAACTGCTAAGGACCCCAACTTGCTGGTGGGACAATAAAGGAAATAATTTATCATAGTCCACTGACTTCAGCAAGGTCCCTTAATATGCACAGAATGAGTATGATGGTTTGAGCCACTCTGGTGGGCACAGATCCTTCCAAAGCCACAATATTATCAATGGCAGCTAACACTGAGCATTGCCCTGAGCCAGGCTCTGATGGGGGCGGGAGGAGTCACTGTATTAGAGCCACCATTAGCCTCTCTTTGCAGATGAGAGGCTTAAAAGTAGGAGGTGAAATGATGTACATGACATTCCCAGGATTATTTATCTCATAACTAACTTTATACTTTATTTTTCATTTTTTTAAGGATTTATTTATGCATAGAAGAGCTGGGGCACAGACCAGAGATGCAGGGGGTGAGAGGATTCACCAGAGACAGAGTGGGGAACAGAACAGGCAGACTGACTGAAACACACTGCTGAGGGGAGCAGCGGGCGAGACAGGAGAGGTCTGCCTTGCCACGAGGGTTTCTCCCTGGCCTGCCGGGGATCGAACTGGTGCTGCAGAGGCTACAGATTGCTTCACAGTGCGGTGCTTAGCTCTTGCGCCACCAGGGAGGCCCCTAACTTTATTATACTTTCAACTACCTTAACCCATTTTTCCCACTTCCCAACCATCATGTTTTAATATGAAACAAAAGGAAAATTCTCTGGATGGGGCAGGGACAATAAAGCCTGAAGCATCCCTCTCTGTCCAAACTCTCATGGTCACAGCAGGCATTCTGGAATGGTGTACCCCTCTCCACCAGCTTTCCAAAAATAGGAAGGCAAAAATGCACCCCAGTACCACCGGTGGTGGAGTAGGGTATCTTGAGTTATAAGCGTTCACCACAATATCCACACCTATGCTTATTGGCAGGCATCTATTCTGAAAATTAAAGAGACTTGCTGGCTCAGAAAGAAAAGGGGAGAGGTGTCAATCACACAAGTTCACACAGATAGGATAGGAAAGGGGAACTTATAAGCACAAGTCTTAACCCCAGGCTCCATCACCCTCTTAACCATCCTTCCACAAAGCCTCTTCCTATCAGGGTACTCAAATTCTCAAAGCTTGGCCCTCACATTGGGGGAATCCATAAACCCCAAAGTCCATAGGTCAGGAGCCCAGATGAAGCCCCAGACAATGGTTGGTCTAAAACCCTTCTCTCAGTCCACAGCCATGACTGTCCCCGCCACCACTACCCCCCGCCCAGGTACCTTCCTTAGCCTGTGATCGCCAGGTCCCAATCCCCCCAGTCCCACCTGACTCTGTCCTCAGCAGGCCCACCCAGCTTTTCTGGCCTATAGTTTCTCCTTGTTTTGCCTCCCAAGTGCAAAAAACTGTATTTGGCCCATGGAGGAACCCAGAACATTTGTGAAGGAACACATGGATGACCACCCTGACGGAATCATCTAAGGTCTGGGTTGCCCTCTGGACCCCAGGCTTCTCGGGTTCTGCATAGCTCCAAGGCACAGAGGGGCGTCATGGTTAATGTCTATTGAAGATGCACTGATAAGGAATATAAGAGCACCTGAAGGTGAGTGAAGGAGTCCATCAGTCCTAGGCACCAGGTGAATGGTAGAATGATTTGCTAAGACAAGAACCTCATTTTCCAGAAGCTCCTGCATGTCTCACAACTTGCTGCAGCGGCAGCCTCTCTCCTACCAGCGGGCACCCCTTGGACCACAGCAGCTGTGACACAGACTTGCCAAGAGGGGTCGCTAAACCCTTATTTTCCTTCCTGGCGTGCAACACAGGCCGGCCGTGCAGACGTGAGGAAGGGGTGAGCGTGTGAAAGGAAAAGCCAGAGAAGTCCCCGTCCCTCCTCTAGAGGGCCCGCTCTGGTGTGTGCCAGAAGCGCTGGGCACCAAGAGCTCACGGGCACTGCGGGGCACCCCCTGCTGGCAACCGCACTAGGACCAGGCAACCTTCTGACTCATAGCTCTTAGGGTCTCCTCGGATCTTCCCCTTGCAGAGGGACCCCAAGCTCAGAGAGGTCCAGGCCTTGCCCAAAGCTGCATCCACAAGAGGAAGGATTAAAAACCAGATTGGCCAGTCCTGTTGCTGTTCCTTTTCTCTGCTCTCCCTGGCACCCCTCCATCTACCCCTCCACACCTTGAACCCTCCCACTGTTTAGCATCTCTGCTCCAAAAGCAAAGCAAGATTCCAAAGTCCAGTGTCTGGCGCAGCCTAACTTAGAAGGTGCTTCTGTTCTCTTTCCTAGTGGGGCGCCAAAAGGCAGGCAGAGGGAAGTGGGGGGAAAGAGCAAAGACTGTCTCTGTCTTCCAGAAGAGACAGTCCCTGCTGCCCTCAGCATCCACCTTGCCCCAGTTTGTGTCACCCTTGCTCCCTTGATTTCAGTGCCCTGGGCTTTTAAGCAACCTCTTGGCCACACACGAATTCACTGGGGAGAGAGGAGCCTGGTGGGCTGGGGCAGGAAGAGGTTGCAAAGTCTCCTGACCCATCTCGGAGGAAGACAACAATGAAACTGGGGCAGGGGGGAGGGTACTCCCTGAGAGGAGCCTGCCTGTCCACACTGGTGGCCAGAAGCTAGGAGTCTATACTGCGGGGCTCTCTTTGTTGACAAGGGTCCAGAGCTCCACCTGTGGGGCCTCCCAGCAGTACAGTGCGGAAAAGTGTCCTTGGCCCCAGTTTACAAAGGAGGAAACTGAGGCCCAGCACGTTTCTTCAATCTTCTCCGAATTCATGTTCTTGGATAGGCCTGATGTTGGCATGTCTGAAGCCAAGCCCAGTAGGTACCCTAACTTAGGGGACAGGACCCTGATGATCCTGTTAGAGCTGGACTGGTCTCCAGGTTCAGATGGTAAGCTGGCAGGGGGATTCTGAAGAGGAGTGCAGGGATCCCAGGGTCTGGTGGCTCCAAGCAGCCCCTTTCCTCAGGCAGGGTCTGAGCCCAGTGACCACACAATTGCCACCTGGTTGCCCTCAGAATTTCCTTCAGCTGGCGAGCCTCTCTGATTAGCCCCTCGGAGCTCGGAGGACTGTTCTTTAGGGTTCTGGGCAGTTGCCCAGCAGGGTGTTCTCTGGCCTTATCACTCATACCCAACTCAATGGTGGAGACCTATCAGTTGACTGTAAAGACTAATCCTGTTTGGCTTGTACCTCCCTTTAGTCTATGGGGGCTGAGCTTATAGAGGTATCATGGAACTGCTTTTCATGTACTTGTTTACTATGTACATGGAAAAACAGAACCCAAAAAACAGCTCTCTGTTTCCAGGGACTTTTTAACCAAATTTGAAAACGACATCTGTGTCCTGTTGGACAACAGAGGAGCAAATTAGCATTATTCATTCATTCAACAAATATTTATTGCACAATCGCCATGTGCTAAGCACTTCTAGGTGCTGATGACACAGAAGGCAACAAAACACAGAGCCCTCTTGTCATTTATCTTTTAAAGGATGTGACAGAAAATGATGACGTAGAAACATAGTTGGATAATTGCTGTTGGGTGGGGGATGGAGAACAAGAGGGGTAGCTAGGTGACCCACAGGAAGTGGAGGGGAAATCTGTGTGACTCTCTGGGGGAAGAGTGTTCCAGGCAGAGGGAGAAGCAAGTGCAAAGGTCCTGAGGAGGGCAAATATTTGTTCTATTTGAGGAGAGGACCTTGTAAGGTTTTGTGACCCTTGATAAGAACTTTGACTTTAATCCTGGGCATGATGGGAAGCCAGTACAGGGCTCCTAGAACTGTCTGGA